CTTGAGGCCAGTGTGACAGAGCAAGGAGGCAGGGACGAGACCGGTAAACTTTAGCGGAGTGGCCGACTTTGTCACACAGTTGGCAAACGACCCGTCTTTGATGGCTCGGTAGGGTAGGACGCCAAGACGGATGATGGCTGGAGTTGCCACTTTGCGAGAAGTGATGACTAGGAGGATAGGAGGGGTGTTGCATGGAACTCACAGAATCAAGAGGCGCATTAGCCAAACCTTGGGTGATGTTCGACGAGTACCGAGTGCTCTTCCGTTTAGACTTATGACTTACTTGAGCAGTGACAGTTGATCCAGGTAGTTTGTCCGCACGCTTCAAGTACATCTCGTAGTCAGTCAGCTTATCATAGAGATCTTCAAAAGAGACCGGCGAGTCGCGTGCCCGAATTGCAGCAGCCAATTCCTTGTAGTCGGCGTCGAGACCATTGAGGGTATGAATGACAACCTCTTCGTCACATAGGGAATGACCTATTAAGGCCAAGTCATCAATGATAACCTTGATGTGTTGTAGATAATCAGAGATACTACTTCCCTCTTGTTTTGTCACCATAAGCTTGGATAGAAGACTGAGCTTACGAGTACGCGAATGATTTGCCAGGGTGGTTTGCAGTGTAGACCATGCATCAGCAGCTGTCACACATGAAGATATCAAGGGAGCAACAGATCCAGCAACTGAAGCTTGAATGGCTTGGAGGATGAGACGACCTTGACGTAGCCACAGTTTGTGAGCTGGATTGGGTATTGGACTGGGATCGCCGGGGATGTTGAGCATGGCCGGAGGACATTTGAAAGAGCCATCAATGTAACCTAGCAAGTCGTATCCAAATAAAAGATTAGAAAATTGAGCTCGCCAGGACGCATAGTTGCCACCCTTTGATAACTTAAAGGGTATCAGCCTGACAGCATTGATGGAGATAAGCCTGTAGAAGAACAAGAAGTGGGAGTCCCTACAGGAATTGAAACATCAGAAGAAGTGAACAAAGACATTTTTTTTTTCTTCGTCTTTTTTTTTATTTTTATTTTTATAGAAGAAGTGGAGAATGAGGGAGGGGGCTGCTGCAGCAGATTGGGCAATCTACAACAGTGCAAAGTTGTCGGCAGCTGCTGTGGATTGCTGCTTGCTGTAGCAGATTGTAGAGGCTGTAGTTTGCCGAAAGATGGTCACGAAAACTACAGCGATTCTCAAGACTGTGGTTCGTTGCTGTTGATTGCTGCTTGCTGCAGCGGATTGTAGAGGCTGTAGTTTGCCGGAAGATGGCTGCGAAAACTGCAGCGGTACTCAAGACTGCGGTTCGCCGGGAAATGGCCGCGAAAAATCTGCAGTGTTACTCAAGGAAACTGCAGTGAGAGAAATCTACAGCAATTAGATGTAGACTATGGTTCGCTGCTGTGGATTGCTGCTTGATGCAGCGAATTGGAGAGGCTGCAGTTCGCCAAAAGATAGCTGCGAAAACTGCAACGGTACTCAAGACTGCGGTTCGCCGGGAAATGGCCGCGAAAATCTGCAGTGTTACTCAAGGAAACTGCAGTGAGAGAAATCTGCAGCAATTAGATGTATAGAGAAAAGCGGCAGCGAAAGCTGTTGTGGTAGAGGAAGGAAGATGCAGCAGTTGCGGTTGCTGCTGGCTGGGAAGCGGCCGCGACAGCGAAGGAGGAAGACGCACCAACCGTCGTTAAGCAAGGAAGACTGAGCGAGGAAGACACCATCGTTCGCCGTTCGTAGCTATTGAGGAGGAGGACACCGCCGTTAAGGAGGCGTCGTTGTGTAGAGGGAAGCGACAACGAAGGCTGCTGCGGTAGAGGCAGCATGTTACTGTGGCCGCTTGGCTAACACACGGCGATACTGTTGTCGCCAAGGAGGAACTGCTCTGATACCATGTTAGAAAATAAATAGATAAACAAGTTGTAGAAGTAGTTGATTGTTTAATATATCCTCCATCCTCCTTCCTTTTATACATGTTAGAAGGGAGAATTTTCCTCAACAGATTAGAGGATTTCCCAACAGAGTAGAGAGATTTCCTCAAACAGTTAGGAAATCTCATCTACTTATCAGAAAGGAGGATCCGAAATCCACCACAGTAAAGAGAGAGACTTGAAAACCTACTAGGAGGACTCAAAATCCACTATGATAGAGGGAAGACCCAAAATTTATCATGACGAAGAAACCATGCTTTCAAACAATCAAGGTGAGGGACAAATAATAGAGAATCTATTATCAACTATTCATCTATTTGCCTACATGGATAAAAATTTAAAATAGAGAAACACAAACTTCTTTCTTATCCATAAGATCTCTCTTTATCCTTTATGACAAAGCAATTATAAGCTTCCTTCTTATCTATTATAACAAGGAAGGTAATCACAAACTCTCTTCTCATCCTCTAAGGTATAAAATAACATATTAAACCTAATATAAAGGACTTCTATTCACTATTTTTACGTCGAAGACTATTCGAATTATCCTATCCATATACGTTCGAGATCACTTTAGCTCATAAATATATTAATAATAATTTTTTCTAACAAAACCAATCACATGCAAACAGCAGACTCGAATCCACTTTCTTTCTTTCTTTAGTCAACGCGCCTTGCCACTCTAACAGAAATGGTTAAACCCCAAGGAAAGCAAGCACCGACCGACGACACTCCGCCAGTTGGTTCGATTCCAGCGGGTGACCAGCTAAACCACGCCACTCGCCCGACGCACGAGTCTCGCACCCACCTTCCTGGGCCCACGCGCGGTAGGTTTGCCGGCATGTCGCTTCGTAAGTCCACATGCGAGCCGTGTGGATGGAGAATTTTCACGTCGTTACACCGGGATACGTCACAACGCAAGTCACGGGTGGAGGATGTAGAGAACCTCCGGACTGCGCACGCCCTCGTTCGACCGTGTCTGCAGTCGTAAAAGTGTTCGTTGGATGAACCATCGCTCGCGTCGTGCGATCGCGTATAGCGTCCCGCAAGCAAGGCGGCCCTCCCTTGTCCCGAACGCCAAGCGCGCCCCTTCGCTCCCGCTCTATTTAGTCTTCGCCTCCCAACTCCCACTCGTCGCTCCACGCCTTTTCTTCACGTCTCCTTGTTCGTGATGGATCACCGCGCCGTCCTCTTCATTGCCCTCGTCTTCGTCGCGGCGTCCCACGCTGGCGCCCAATCCCCGGCCGCCGCCCCGACCAAACCCGTCACCCCCGCCCCTACTGCTGCCCCTATCAAGCCTGCCACTCCCGCTCCCGCTGCCGCCCCTACCAAGCCAACCCCCGCCCCCTCCACAGCTCCGGTTGCCACCCCAGCCAAAGCCCCCGTCGCCGCTGCCCCCACCACTGCCCCGCCTGCCCCCGCCCCCATGACACCTCCGCCGGTACCCGTGCCAGTGAGTTCTCCGCCTACCCCTCCGCCGACATTGTCGTCACCGGTGCCGGCACCAGCTGCTCCGGTCCCGGCCGCTGCTCCGCCGAAGCCAACGGATGTGCCCGCGCCAGCGCCGAGCAAGAGCAAGAAGAAGAAGCCAAAGACGACGAAGAAGAAGAAGCATAGCGCAGCCCCCGCCCCGGCGCCGTTAGCACACACCCCTCCTGCACCTCTCACCGAGTCGCCGGCGGGGATCGGCGAGTCGCCAGCACCCAGCCTTGCCGCTGACCAAACCGTAAGACGTCCCGCTCCCCCCAGAACGTCCACATTTCCACATGCACGTACACCAACTACTTACACTAATTGGCGTTTATTAGAAGTGCATTAAGTGTTGGAAGACCGTGTAAGATTCCCTTCACTTTCTCCAACATAGGAAGCCTTAATTAACCATGGCAATAACATGCATGAGATATGGTCAATTCACACCCCAATATGAAGCTTCCATTGCTTTAACTGGTTGTGATCAATGCAGAGTGGTGCGGAGACGCTGCGACACAAAGTAGCAGGTCGCATGTCGGCGGCGTGGCTTCTGCCGCTGGGCTTCGCCGCACTGGCCTGGATATGAAGCTGGCGTATACGCACACAGAAGCATATCTTCTCTCCCCTCCTACTTTTATTTTTATTTACGTGTGCCACGTTCATTTGGATTTGTTTACTTCAAGAGGAGACATTGTGGTAGAATTAAGTTTTATTTGAGTCAGTGATGTGCATTCTTTTTTCTCCTCACTTGGTGTGTTACTGTTATGGTGTGCTGGATCAGTTCACATGCATGCCAGTCTAAACATTTTGTCCAGTGTGGGTATTCATGTGCATTAAGTATTATTATACGTTACCATGTGGGATCATAAACACTGTATAAATCAGAAGACTCACATATGTGGCGATTCTGATATATTGTATCTATGACCGTCGTCGTCGTCTCGTGAACGCCACCTGTCGGCACGACGTCTGCCCTTGTGCTGTGTGGATGTATGCTGGTCGTTGTCTTGTTTGTTTGCGTTCGTATATTTTGCAGTTCTCCCAAACCTTTTTGTAACGCCGTCGGAACCAATCGGGTCCGTCTCGGGCTGAGCCGAATTCGGCTCTCGATTGCACCGGTTTTGCGCTTGAATCAAACCGCAACTCGTGAAGCCTTGGTGGCCGTCCACTGGGTCGCACGAATCACGGCGCGGATAAGCTCGGTTTCCTGGCCCCGCCCGTCTCCTCGCGCAAGAACGCTTCGCTTCGCCTCAAGTTTCGGGAGTCGATTCGCCGCAAGGAGCCATGGTTCTCACGACCTTCGATGGCGTCGGCGTTGGCCTTGGTATGAACTCATGGCCACTGGAAAATCTGCGGCTGTTGCTATCTGGAACGAGGGCGATATCAATCTGATTTGTGTTTGCCCATGTCCATGTTGTGTCTCAGGGTTCGGCATCGGATGCGGGTTTGGAATTGGATGGGGCTTTGGAGGTAGTTCCCGTATCCTTCTTCTTTTTGTTGCCTTTCATCTTTATGCGGTTGGCGGAAATGTGGAATTTGAGATGGCTATTGGATTGTTATGCTGAAACGCTGCCGATGTAATCGTTTGTTTTCCTGCTTGAATTGGGGCATAATGGCAAGGTGGAACAAGAAGGGGTTCCTCGGAGATCTCTAACTGGCTTTTGTCGTATATAGAGTGAGAGCAATCAACTGAATTAGTCGATGATCAGGAGGTGTTCCCTTCTCATCTTTACTGATTCAATTTTAGGGCTTTGAGTTGATGTGCTAAGTAGTGTGGATTGAAAGGTTTAGATCTGTAGTCCAATGTGACATCCCGGGATGTGCAATTTTATGAAGGGAAATGGAGTAGTTCTTTTGTCAAAGAGTTTAGGTGGAGTTCACGAAGTTAAGATGATAAAAAGAAAAAAAAAATTGCTAGAGGAAGTACTTTGATAGGAATTTCTTAGCTTGTTGTCATCTAAGATGATAATGTTCGATCAAATATGCATAGATTACCTACCTAATTCCTACCAGCCATGTTATTCAATTACATAACTTAGCTGAATCTGTTGCTATCCATCTTAGAGTTTTAATATCCTGTGTGAGATTTTTTTCCTTATGGATGACTTATTAAGCTTTCTCTTGTCATAAACATCTGGCCATGCTCCACAACAGCAAAGGGGAAAAAAATATTCATGATCATCATAGAACAAGACTATGATGAACCTCCGGATGATTTTAAATTACGACTGCTGAAAAAGGATAAGCTTGATAACAAAAAAAATAAAAGATGTTGATATTCTAGTAAATTTGTATGTAATATTAGAAGCTATAGATGCATATACTTAACCTTCAAGACGAATGAACATAGTATCTGAATGTGACCTTTTAGTCGTGTAATTGATCAGATGCAATTATGTGCTGACAATATGTTATATTGGGAACATAATCAGGCAAATTCTAGTTAACATCTGAAAAATATGATCTTAATGTAAGCATCTGTCTCCATCACCCAGTCAAGAATTGATGTTGTTCTTAATGTAAGCTAGATTTAATTTTCAATACTCCAAAAAAAGGATGTAATAAACTTATAAGCAGAAGAAAATGATGGAGAGCATGACACAACTATTAAAGGATTACTGAAAAACAATGGATTTAAAATTCTAAGCCTCAGTGTGATCTATGCAATCACAATCTTGCTGTCTTTGGGAGAAGCTAAACATAATGGATTTAAATTTCTAAACCTCAGTGTGAACTATGCAATCACAATCTTGCTGTCTTTGGGAAAAGCTTATACAGGAAATATGATTTATGCTTGTCAATGTCTTTTAGAAGAAGAAAAAATTGTCAGACATAGGAGATGACATTCTTTGACTTTATGTTTATGTTTTGCAGGGCCAGTGAACAATTTTATGTTTTTTTTTTTTGAAAGATGCTTATCGAAGAACAACTGTTATGTTCTAGAGATTTAACTTTATCTGGTAGTAAACTAAGGGGGCACATGAAAGTAGTTTGCTTTCTCTTTTACTATTCCATGTTTCTGTACAGATATGAGCACAACTCACCAGACACTAGTTAGCTGACATGCAAGATCAGAATCAATCCGAACAGTCACCTACATTGAATGCATGATTATGGTTTAGCAGAAGTATCTATCTGGTTCACCTAAATTGTATCAATCCGAACAAGTCAAATGTAGCAGAAGTATCTGGTTTATGTACTTCCACAACATAATACTGCACCCTCTTTGTTCCATTCACTGTAACATGTGAAATAGGACATTCTATTTGTTATCTGCTGCACCCACCAAAGGGGCCCAATATTATGTTACTCTCTCTACCTTTATCTCAAATTTCATACAACCTTGTTCCTGAATTACCAAAGTACATACCACTTCCAAGGGAAATGAATGTAAAAACTCGTTGATCTGTGTGCTCCCTTGTTTCACATTTTTTAGGGATTGCTACTGGCAAGTGCATTTTGTGGCCATACCATTGTTTCTAGTTGCATGCTTCATATTACAACTTGGCAGGCACCTTAAATGATTGAACAGAACCAGTAATGGGATCCATTTATAGTTAACTTTGTCAAACATGTCCATTGAAATTACTGATGCCTAAGCAGTGCCCCACAAATCTTGTTCTAGAATACTTCCAGGTTCATGTACTCTTAACTCAGGTCTGGTATTCTTGTTGTTATGACAATTATTAACCCATATAACCTGTTCACTGATGATTTTTTTCTCAATTATCTCCAGGAATGCCCTTGCATACCTTTGGCATGGGAATTGGTAAGTATCACTCGCTTAGAACTTTACTTGATATAGCTATACCTTTTACGCTAATTCAAAACTCTACATGGATAGGGGGAGGCTGTGGAGTGGGACTTGGTCTTGGTTGGGGCTTTGGCAGTGCATTTGGTTGCAAATACCGGTCCTCCAAAGTCACTTTCCAGGGCATTGAATTTGATAACAAGGGGACGAGAGATAAATCAGTGGCAGATTCCTTGAAGCACGCTCAATAGATTCAAGTTCCACACGGGCACTGTCATAACAGGAAGGTGTAGTAGTCTTTTTACTGCTTTCACCGCCCATGATTGTTCTATGATCAGATATCTTTGGGTTTTACGATTAGTAATTTAGATGTAGATGTGTGACATCAAATCAGAGAACCATACTATTCCGGTAAAATTTCAGAGACACCATGGCTTGTGACAATACAAAATTCTGCATGTTTCATGACTGATGTGGCAAGACAATATTGATTTGATTAAAATCAAATATTATCTTATCGTGATAGTGTCTCATTCTAATTGATAGTTAGCAAAATTTGACACTCATAGGTTACAATATCTTTGTCATAGTTTCTTCCATGCAAGGAGTTCACAATTACCCAGAGTTTGTCATGGTTGATTTGTCCAGAGTACACTACTGCTGCTTTACCAGGTAGAGAAACAGCTAAACAATCCAGGAACTGGCAGAAATGGAAGCATCACAGACTCCCAACTTGTAATCCACCAAGTTGCTTGATTTACACTTCTAAAATATTTGGTTTACAGCATGACTTAGCTTCTATCTTGTGCACTCACAGCATCTTCCATCTCAGAATTCTCTCCCATGGCTAGCCTCCAAAAGTTCCAGCATCACACATACTACATGACACCTCAGAGAAACCCCAAAAGACCCAAACTTCCATGCATGAGCCCCCTTTCTGGTCAGGCTTGGAGCCAACATGGGACCCCACTGCAAGCCTCTCCTGGTCCATTCCTTCCTTTTGTCATCACCAGGTGTTCTGATTTGCTTCACATGCTCTTCCCAAATGCTATTTTGTTGCAGCACACAAGAGGTTTGCCAATAGTTTTACCTCTATTAACAACCCCTGTAATTTTCAGGTATCTGGACTGCATGTGTTGGCTCTCCCATTGATTCATTTGCATCAGAATTTGATGATGGTACTGTAATGGCCCCAACATCTATCATTGACATGGGGTTGGTTAAGATTCTTGCAATGGCATTAAGAAACAGAGGCATGCAGTAACTACAAAAGATTAAGATCAGCCTGGCCTCTGCTTGGTGTATGGGTTCCCACCTGCTCCCCTTGAATCCTTTAGGACAATAAGGAGAGATTATAAAGGGGATAAATAAAGGCTCTCCAACTTGACATGAATCCAGGATAACTTATCAGCATTCTCAAGGTACAACCCTTCAGCAACACTCAACTTCGCATAGATATTCTTTTTCTTTCATGAGACCAACCTATCAACTCCTACTCTACATTAACTACTTCCACTTACTCAAATCCAACGACATAAACACAACATCATCACATCCAGCATGCCAGATCTGATCCTTGAGGAAGAAAAAGAAGTTTCTCAAGGCTGCCTATAAAGGGGGCATGCCATGGCCCGCCCACAGGCCAATACAGTGGGAATGTCTCGAGAAGTTAGAATACAGTGAGCCTGCCTCGCTTTCCTTTAGTTTATATTCTCTCCTCCCTCCACTGCTACCCCCTTCGAGTCTCCACCACTTGTATGTATATTTCCTTCGACCGCCCTTTCCTCCAAAGAAAAGGTGGAACAAGTCCAAGCAACGACAATGGCTCCATCAGAGGAACGGGAGGCCATTGAGGAAGAAGAGGTGTCCCTTTCGCCCTCGGATCTCCCGGTGGCCGCTGGCAAAGGTGATGATGGCGAGTGCAAGTCCAGCGACGCTGAGGACGACTTCGAGTTCCGGATATCGGTGGCTGGAGGCCTCCTTTCCCATGCGGCCGAGACCGACATGTGCGCGGCCGATGAAGTGTTCTTCCAGGGCCAGATTCTTCCACTGCGGCCCTCCGTTGGCTCCGACAGCGGATTCTTCGTCGCCAGCCGGGCACCGAGCCGGAGCAGGTCGATGTCCGACTCACTCGACCAGTATTCCTCTACCGTTCTGGGATTGGGCTTCAACAGCACGAGTCGGAGTAATAGCAGCGGCAGCAGCAGCAGGAGCAGCAGTGGCTGTGTGAGTAGGAGTCATTCGTCGAACAGTCATGGAAGCAGCACCTGCGAGCACCCCCGGGTGTCACTGTCCAACAACTTCTACGCTCATCCAAGTCCCACGCCGCAGGTTCGCATCCTAAGGAACGCCCACGCGCGGCGGAGGAGCACAAGTTCTGCGCCACCAGGGTGGGGGATCTTCCGGTTGGGCATCGCCAAGGCCCCCGAGATCGAATTATACGACATCAGGTCGCGAAGGTCGAACAGCGGCAGTGTCAGCGGCAGGAAGAGCAATGCCGACGCCGAGGATGCAAAGAAGGCTCTAAGAGGTACAAACCGTAGTACTTCAAAGAATGCCGCAGATGTCCAGAAGAAGGCAGCGTCCCAGGCCGCCGGGCGTGGGTTCAGCTGCAAGTGCTCCCCGGACGCGCTGGAGCCGGTCGCCATACCGAAGCTGGGGGTCACAAAGAAGAAAAAGGAGCAGCAGACCACGCACAGGAATAGAGGAGAATTGAATGGTTGAAGGGTCTCTCGACTGCAAAGGCAACAGGAAGATGAGATGCATGGTGGTCAAAGAGCTGGTTTGACTCGTCCACCATCTGGCTTCTCATTTGCATTGTCTTCTTTTTCTCTTCTTTCATCTCTTGGAGTACTCCAATGCATAAACCTGCTCAACTTTGTAGAGCTTTTTGTTCTTCTTTTGTGTTTCTAAGTGGGAGGTAATGATAAGAGCGTGCCTTTTGCTCGAGAAGCTTTGATGGTGGTGGAGAAGGGAGCTTTGGGTGTGTGCCTATTTCCCTTCGAATAATTTCCTCAAGGAAAGTTTGATTGTTTTCTGCTCGAGAACTCTGCCATGAAGGCTTTAAACGGAGCAAAAGAAGAATCAACTACAAGAATCTATCAATCATGTAAACTTCTCCCATCTCGTCCCTAAACATCAATACACCTGAAGGCTAAAACGCCACTCCTTACACCATGAAGTCACGCGCCTCGTAGCAAGATAAAGAACATAAGACGAGAACGCACGACCAACGAGAGATGGCACCGATTCCGATGAGTCTGCACCACAGTAAAGCACAAAAGACCGAAGGAGGACGGAGCTTGAAAGAATCAAACGAGGAAAAGGCTTCCGCTTTGCTTTGTGCAAAGGAAAAGGCGCACTGTGTCTTTGTCCTTAGTTTGGGAGGCAAAATGGCGTAAAAGAGTCTCATGCGGAGCCAGCAGCTTGGGTCATCCACCCACAGCATCTCTCAAGCCTTGGGACTGGTTGCTTGGATGCAGTCTCTGCTGCTAAGCTCCTTGTGCATGTGGAGACTCCAACGGACGATGGATCGATCGAACTCTATCCGACTGAAACTGGCAGACAAATGGAACATTCTTCGGAGCGGCCAATGCTATTCTCTGTCCATTTTGTAAGGGTTTCTTGATATTGAATTCCAAGTTCCAACACTATCGATTAGTCTAATGTCGAACCTCATCATGGATTCTTTCAACAAGGTGGGAGATGTGTTGTACAACCATCAACTTCATCACTAACTAGTAGTACTAGACATTGAGCCATCATGAGTTGGATGAAGCCTCAGTATAAAGGAGTCTTCCACAGAGTAAGTGGCAGCACTATGTCTCAGGAGTGCTTAGTTTGGCCATCAAAGCCTGCTAAAAGTATGTAATCTGATGCACAAGTTGGAAACAGTAAAAGAATAGATACCTGAGAAAACAAGCTCAGAAGAATCCACTGAGTTCAGAAAAAGGGAAGCATTTGTGCCCTTGCTTAACCAATTATTATCTTTATCATTTTACTGCCTTGAGCTCTTGTATCCTGTAAGATCTCTAATGAAATGGTCAAAGTGAGAAAAATATAAAAATTATATAAATCAAATCGGTCAAGATTAATATACATTAAATCATGATGACGAATGATATATATTAATCTAGGCATGAGTCTATACGCGAATTGTTGTCTCGTCTCGAGTGATCCACTCCTAATTTTAAAAAATAAAAAAAAAATATTTTAGTGCTTTTTCATCTTTTATCCATCCGAAATACTAGTATTTACCATGTATTGTGTATTAATATGCCGGTATCAATCGATATGATATTGAATGAGATTGTACACTTTGATGAGAGTTTGAACCCTTATCTAAAGTCGTGATCGCAGATATATATACGACCGGGTTGGCTAATTTGGTATTAATGACTAATATTTATTTATTTTAATTTTGATTAATATTTTTTATTTTGATTTTGAGTAATATTTTTTTATTTTGATTTTGTCTAATATTTTATACTTATAAGAACCTGAAATAATAATAAGATAGATTTGGAAACATAGATGTCATGCCAACATTTCCAAGAATCCACAAACGTGGCCCGGCCGGCCCAATACAATTATCACAGTCAAAACGGCCCGTCCACAGAACAATAACAGTGTAAGCAATTCATTCCGCTTCGGTCTGTTAGCAATAACAGTGTTGCTTATCGAGGGCGATCACGCTGTCCGCGTTCATCCCACGCGGCCGATTTGGTCGATTCCTTGCTCTTTATTCCGCCGTTGTCAACCCTCTTCTCCGCGAGAGCAGCGACGAGGCCGAAGAGGAGGACTCCAAGCACGAGAGGATGCAGATATTTGTGAAAACCCTAACTGGGAAGACGATTACCCTCGAGGTCGAGAGCAGCGACACCATCGATAACGTCAAAGCCAAGATCCAGGTCTTCCCTCCTCCTCCTCCTCCATCTCCTCCTCCTCATCTTCTTTCTATTTGGCAGATGCTTGTAAAGGTCGCAAGACATGCTTCTTTTTTCGATCTTTTCTGCTGTACAATGTGTTAAAGGGTTTTGTTGGAGTTTGAGGGGTTTCCTTCTTGGTTTCATGTTTTTCCCTCCTTCTCTTTTTGAGTCTCAACAGCACTGGATCTGAAGCCTTTCTTTTACTTTCTTTTTGTTTGGATCATCTTTTGCTTGTAGTTTCTTTGAATATCTGTTTGTTGTCTTTATCTTTTTCGTGCTTTTTAGTGATTATTTCGGCCCCAATTGATTGCATGACTGTTTCTTTCAATCATTCAGGGTTTGGTAGTGGCCAGTATAGTATGGGGTTTATACAGATTGGTGATTTGGTATAGGCTAGCAATCTTTTTAGTAAAAATAGGGCGAGATTGTGGAAACAGAACTATAATTTACTGTTGGATATCTTTAGGCACTTTTGACATCATGGAAACACGAGCCATGTCACATCTTTGGTAAGAGATGATGCCTTGCGGATATATGGAAATGAGCAATTCACATTTTTTGCAGGACAAGGAGGGGATACCTCCAGACCAGCAGAGATTGATCTTTGCAGGTAAGCAGCTGGAAGATGGCCGAACCCTGGCTGATTACAACATCCAGAAAGAGTCAACTCTGCACCTTGTCCTCAGGCTTAGGGGCGGAATGATGATCAAGGTGAAGACTCTCACCGGGAAGGAAATTGAGATTGATATTGAGCCCACTGACACCATTGACAGGATCAAGGAGAGAGTAGAGGAGAAAGAAGGGATTCCACCTGTACAGCAGAGGTATTCTCTCTTTATATATAATCTCTCACTTGTTTTTAAGCCTTACTAGGTATTCATTTTCCCTTGTAAGATATTTAAGCTGACTACTGTGTCTTCTGTTTGAGTTGCTCATTTAGTTATTCATATGTGATAGACCAGTCTGGATGTGAAGATCCATATTTTATTTTGAAGTATCATGTGATAATGGATGACCATCAAGACGTTTTGTGCCTTATTCAAAGTGTTTCCTGATATTAAACTCTTTTCTTTATAGTGTTAAGAACTGTCTCTTTCTTCATTCAGACTCATGTTGGCACTGTCATCCTTTGTGTGTGAGTGTATGTGTGTGGTACTGCTGATGCACAATAATTTTGTTATAATGTTACTTGTTGCTCATTTAGATTGTACATTATCAACTGCTAGTATTTTTTTTAATCTTGTTTTTAAGAAAAACTTTGCTTATCGGTTGAAATTATATAATTTTAATTGGAAACAACAAAGTAACAGCATATTTATATTTGGCACATACTCAACGAGTCAAGTCAATCTCCATTACAGTTCTTTAGAATCTTTATGTTTTGTCCCATGCATGTTTTATGACACCCAAGTTTAGTATTGCAGTAGATGTGGAAGGAGTATTAAGTCGATATATAAGGCTAGATGAGTCTATTATTATTGATTCAAATGTTAACATCTTGGGCCATGTGATTGTAGGCCTATCAAGTGAATAAATTAGTTATCCAGTTGGGTTGGATCATGACAAATGTATCAGAATGGACAAGTACAAGACATGATGAAGGGCCCAAGTTGGAAATGACTACTGCAAAGCAGTGATTGAAAAAGGCACTCGGGCGCTCGCCTAGGTGCTCGGGCGAGGCGAGGCGAGACCCGAGCGCCTCGTTAATCTCCCAGGCGGCGCGCTTCAAACAGGCGCCGCCTGGGCGCTGGGCGCTTCGGGCGAGCGCCTGGGTAAACCAAGGCGACCGAACCAGGATTTTAGGTCTGGTTTGAAGCGCGCCGCCTGGGCGCTGGGCGCTTCGGGCGAGCGCCTGGGTAAACCAAGGCGACCGAACCAGGATTTTAGGTCTGGTTCGGTTGGTTAGTTGGTTCAATCGAACCAACTAAACCGATATCGCTGCCACTCCCAATCCCGATCCTGATCCCGATCTCGCTGCTCTCCACTGTCGCTGCTCGCAAACGCTGCCGTTGTCGCCGCTCGCCGTTGTCGCTGCTCGCAAACGCTGCCTCTGTCGGCGCTCGCGCCTCCCGCTGCTCGTCGCTGTCGCTGCTCGCAAACGCTGCCTCTGTCGCCGCTCGCGCCTTCCGCTGCTCACCGCTCTTGCTCCCGTTGTCGCTGCTCGCAAACGCTGCCTCTGTCGCCGCTCATGCCTCCCGCTGCTCGCCGCTCCTGCTCCCGCTGCCGCTGTCGCCGCTCGCACCTCCTGCTGCTTGTCGCTCCCGCTCCCTTTCTCGCTGCCGCTGCTGCTGCCGCTACCGTTGCTCGCCGCTCGCTGCTGCCGCTGTTGCTGTCGCCACTCGCCGCTGTCGCTGTCACCGCTCACCGCTGCCGTCGCTCACCGCTGTTTCCTCGTTTCTCAGTCAGCAGACTCAGAATACAGTATACTGTTAATATTAAGTTTATTTGAAATGATTAATTTTCAATATTGTTAATAGATTTTCTTAATTTAATAGCATATTTTTATTTAAAATTTTAAATAATTATATTTATTAATTATATTATATATTTTTATATTTTAGCGTCTCGCTTCGCTCGGGCGAGCGCCTAGCGCCTCAGGTGTTTTTGGACCTTGGCGCCTTTTGGCGCCTAGCGTTTTTTAAATCACTGCTGCAAAGTAGCTGGAGGCACATCTTGGCGTTGTCACGACTAGGCTGGACTTAACATATGCCATATTAAGATGATTTTGAATTATGTTTGGACCTTAACAAGGATATCAAGTCTTAAGTGAGGAGATTGTGACACCTCAAAATTAGTCTCACATTGTCTGTGGGAGAAGAATTGAATTGATTTACGAGGCTAGATGAACGTATAATAAATAACATGAGCTTAATTATTTTAGACAATGTGGATTTGGGCATATCAAGCTGATCGGTTAGTTATCCCATTGGTGGGGTTTTGACATGTTTATATGTAACCCTTGTCCATGTAGGTATGTGGCCTTGTTCTCAATAAGAACCTTGTTATTAACTCAAAATTTCTCATCTTAGTATATGCTCACTTATTTGTGTTATTTAATTATTTCTTTTTATCTGGGTAAGGATAGGTATTGGCATTCAAGTAATTAGATGACCTCTTTGCTATACATTGTTCCACCTATTGTATTGGATGGCCCTTTTAACCTTTTTTTGGTAATTATATTTTCTTGTCAAAAATTGAGAATTCAATGCAGTGCCTATCCTGTGAAGGAAAATGAACAATATGCAGAAGTCTCACTCGACAGAACTGTACAATCAACCTTTCTCCAATCCCTACCCGAAGAAGAAAAAACTCATGAGCCAGAAATGAAACAACACATAAAATAACTGGTTCAGAAATAAAACTGGCAGTTAAGGTTCAATAATTGTGGATGTCATCCTTATTTAAGAATTACATCTACCACCACCCAACATCATTTTTCTTCTTACAACATATTCATGCAAAGGCTATATATTTAATCAGTTCATGGTTTAATTAAAATATGCAATATGTTAGTAGGTGCCATTGGCTGAATAATACTTGGTGTAGATTCTGTTTTTAGCTGAACAAATTATGCATTTGCATGAGAGTAGTATTAGATTTTGAATTGTGAATCATTTAATTGTAAATTCTTATGAAGCTGAATGTATATTTCTTCAGTAATTTTAAGTAAGCTATGAATTTCTTATTGACCACTTGTTGAGATCTGAACTGCACATCTACATTTCTTATACTGGTCTTTTTTCATCCCTTGAACTACCACTTTACATTTATGCTTACACTTGCTCGGAGACGACACATCAGACACAAATTCATCTTGTAAAATTTTTTGGTTAGTCATGGACTGTTGACTTCTTATTTTGGCACATCTCTGACGTCTAGCATTTTCTTTGTAACACAAGTGATTCTTTTGTCGACACATATGAATGTTGTTAATATGCTATTGCTGCAATTTTATTTGTCTTTGAGCATGTTCATCCTGTAACACATGATCGACTAAAATCTTTCTTGTATATAACCCAAATGCAGGCTGATTTATGCGGGTAAGCAACTAGCTGATGACAAGACTGCTAAGGAGTACAACATCGAAGGAGGTTCTGTCCTCCATCTTGTGCTTGCTCTGAGGGGTGGATGTCAAAATTTTTAGGTATCCAGTGCGGTTCCCCCTGTTGCCATGGGTTCCGGAGCTCTTGCGGAAAAGTGAAGATCGACAAGCGACAGTGTCTTTCTGGAAGATGTAATAAGCGGACTGGGTTGCTATGTTGCACTTGTTGCTACTATTCGAAGGAATTTGAATGTTGCTCCACAAGTAAATGAACTGTACATCACCAACCTATGAACTGATGCTTTGGTTTTATGGAAATCCAAAAAATGTGCTTTTATGATTCACGTGGTTTGATCTGCTTTCGGACACCTCTAGTGAAGGTTGTATCCGAGTGTTATTTTTCTTTGTCATGCCTGGTTTAAGATATCCCTACACGTCTTTAGTAACACATATCAATTTTGGATAGTTGGATAGAGATCTAATACTCAATATGATAATATTCATTATGATTAAGTTGATAGGGAGTCTTTATAAATAGAACATAATCAAAGGGTTATAAATTAGGTTTTTTTTAGCTGTTATCTCTTATTCTCCTGGCTTCTTTTTTTTCTTAAATTATAATCTTTATTTGGAGCATGTGGACAACAAGAAGGGATAATCTCTTCTTAATTAGTGCGCACATTGGATCACCGCTAGAGAGGAGTAGCCATTATCATGTGGATCATCACTAGAGAGGAGAATAATTGACATCATTCATCCTCTCAAGGATATACGATCTTCCTATGTAATAATTTTTCTTGTACATGTAGTTTTTGGTTTTACGGATTTTTGTGCACGACAATTATTTTCAATGAGAAATTTTGATATTTTTATTTTTTGTTCTTTCGTTGTGTATGTGATATCATCCTAGATTTTCTAACATTAGTTCCCTTATATGAGAACGTCTCACACCCCTTACGTAAGTTTTTTTTATTTTAGTTTTACACTCCTGATCTTCGTACAATGATTTGATAAGATTGTTTTGGGAAACCAGTTTTCATTTTTACTTTCTGTTGCACATATGATGCTCCCCGAGGGTTTTCAACAAGATGAGCTTTTTGTTTGTCTTAGATTGTATTAGTGAATTGAGTGACAAAGTCAAAGAGTGCCTCTTCCTTCCCTTATCTGAGTTCGAGCAACATCATTACAGATAGTCTTATGTGTATATTCCTGAGGAAGTAAATCTCAAACTTTTTTATGAGCTAAGCGAAGGAGCCGATTTAGAGTAGCTTAAGCAAGTATACCACTCCTACAATAAGCCTCTTTGCATTGTTAGGAACGCGTGACACATTGCATTTGAGGTATTATAGAGAGACATATAGGCGTGGAAGGTGATAGTGTATTCTACTAAGTCGATACTACTATCAACGGCAAAAGTTAGTTAGGATTAGTTCATCTTGGATGTTTTGAATGGATGCGGACTGACTCAAGGTGGGATCAACTGGATTCTCCCCCTTAGACCGGTGGAACTCCCATTGCATCTCGTCTAAGCATTAATCCATCTGTCGGAGCTGGATCCTTAAGGAGTCATCCATTGAATCTACCAACTGGGTCTCGAATTTGAGTAGAGTAGAGTGGTGGTGTGGCGATATACTAAACTCCCCGATGATATACTAAACTCCACTATCGAGGAATGGGCGCTCCTTTAGTTAGTAGTTTCGTGAACCTTGGGCGATCCTAAAAATATTTATTGAGAGGATTGGGGGGTGGATGTTCCCGCGACATCATGCCCTCCTTCTAACGCCAAAATATTAGGAAAAAATATTATTGATGTCTTGGTTAGCTTGACGTGATTCGAACTCGTGTATGTAGGATTATCCGAGGTGTCTTCGAGATGAAAATATCATGCTCCCAAAGTACCACTTATATGAAAATCAAGGTCGGGAGAGGTTTTCTAATCTAATTCCTTCGACACTCAAGTTAGTGATCCAAGGTCTTGAGTAATTCTGAAAAGAGAGAGAGAGAGAGAGAGAGAGAGAGACGTACCTTTCGAAATATATTTTTATACCTTAAAGGATGAGAATGAAGCTTGATATTGCTTTTCTTGTCACAAATGAAAGGAAGAGAAGAAAGTTTATGATTACCTTTAAATCTTCGTCTATGAGAGGTGACTTTGATCTTATGTAACAACCACGTGTTGATGATAGATTTCTTATTAGTATGCTCTTTGGATTAATTGTTTTAACTCGAAAGGTCCAACGATTGAATTTGAGCCTTACATCGGTTGCGGCTCAAGTATACATTGATGATTGGACCAAGATAAAGAAATAAAAATAAGAGATCTTTTGTAAAGACAAGTAATAATTGTTTGGCCTATCAACCAAAGGAGTGATCGGGACATGTAACACTCATAGTGATTGATATTTTATAATTTTATTAATTCTATATCAATTTTTTTTATGTCATTAAATTTTATTTAAAATATATTCACTTTTCAAAATAATATTATCATCAAAACTTAAAAATAAAATCATAATTTTTATTATTTTAAATTAATTTTAATTAAAAAATAAAAAATTAATGATTCAAATTAAAATCGAAATCAGTAGAATCAAAATCGGAACCGAAATTGTGATTTAAAGAAGGCTGGAAAAATCCTTCCCACGAGAGCCTCGGGGAGTGCTTTTCAAATAAACAGGGAGGAGACGTCTGCATACTGTGCTCCGAAGGAATGGCGAGGGTCTCATCTCCCGAATTCTTTCCTATCGCCTGGAAGCCAGCAGACAAGTGGGCGGAAGTCTCGTCTGCAATCCTCGATCAGCCACCGGCGGTTTCTGAACGAGAGATGCCTCGCCCAACAGAAGGAACAAAGTCGTCGCTTTCGTTTTCCTCTCAGCTACTCTGTCTTCTTTTCTCGCTTGTGTGCAGCAGTCGCTCATCTCGATTCCCAATTGTGCGGCTGTCGCTGAGCTAATTACTATTCGCAGCGATTGGATTCGCTTGATTGGATCAGGTGGGCCCGCCAAAAATCTTTTCTCGCCCACTCAGCTGACGCCGACTCAGAAATTTTGGCTGTCGTGGATGTCGAGATGGCTAAAGCAAATGACTACGTCAAGAAATTGCAAATGTCGAAAATTGGACCATCAATTTATCCATTTGTATATATATATATATATATGGCTTTGATTCAAATCCATTGTGACGTCATCATCAGCACTGCTTTGAACTCCGACTTGTCATCGCACTTTGGAAGGCACCTTTTGCCTCGTCAACAGTGGTGATAGAGTTGGAGGAAGCCGAGGCTAACGATGGGGGGGGGGGGTCCTACATAATTACATGATTGGTCGAGGACAGTGTGATACATATCTCTCTGCACGACCAACCCGACAAAAATGAGGACGCAACCATGTGAGAAACAAAAAGCAGCAGATTTGTGTTCCTCCTCCTCCTTTGAACCTTCACCACATCTTTCGGTGTCACCACTCCATGTTCCAATCTTCTACTTCTTCTTCCTGCCTTTTTCCCTTGCGATACCGTTCACTTCTTTTGCTGTGATGGCAGCTCGGTCAAGATAAGTACCACCGGCAGCAAGAAGCGATAAAACCTCTGCAGCCACAGGAATGCTGGGGGCCGAGTTCTCCACTGCTATGAAGAGAACCGGCGAATGGTACGCTGCTGCTTCCTCTCTTCCACCCTTGAATTCTTTTCTTCTCTGTTAAGCTTTTTAATTCATCCGATTTCCTCTGTTATATGTACTCTTCGATTTCAATTTTTCTGTTTCTGCTATACTCTCTGCACTCTCGTTTGAACGAGTGACAGTGTCGGAGTAGTCATATTGTTGTCTTCCTCTGGTTCTTGCAGGATTTACTCTCCGGAGGTCCCGAGCGACATCGATGTGAAGGTCGGAGGATCAATCTTTCCTTTGCACAAGGTAAATTGAAACAAGAGTGATGCCTATGAAGGTCGGTACGATTCGATGTCATTGCTAATGGATCGTCTCTTCTCCACATAGTATCTGCTGGTCTCAAAATGTGGATACATCCGAAAGCTGGCATCGGAAGCCAATCAGCCGAACACCTCAGCGATCGAAATCCCTGACGTTCCCGGTGGCGCGGAAGCGTTCGAACTCGTGACCAAGTACTGCTACGGCGTAAACTTCGAGATCACCGCAGAGAACATCGCCATGCTTCGTTGTGTCGCGGAGTACCTTGAGATGACGGAAGATTACACGGTCGGGAATCTGGTGAGTAGAGCGGAGGCCTACTTGGAAGAAGTCGCGCTGCTAAGTCTCTCGGCTGCGGTCACCGTGTTGCACAAATCGGAGGAGCTGCTTCCCGTGTCGGAGAAGGTGAAGATGGTAAGCCGGTGCATCGATGCGGTGGCGTACATGGCCTGCAACGACAGCCAGTTATGTTCGTCTTCGAGGACGGACAACTTCCAGGAGAGGTTCTCTTCGTCGTCGCAGCCGAATGCGATCGTTGATTGGTGGGCAGAGGAGTTGACGGTGCTTAGAATCGACACCTTTCAAAGAGTTCTCATGGCGATGAAGGGTAGGGGATTCAAACAGTATGCTCTTGGACCAGTGATCATGTTGTATGCGCAGAAATCTCTGCGAGGTTTGGTGAGCCACAATCCTTGATGCTCTATATATGACAGAAAAATGCTTGAGAAATGGATTTGTAGCTGAACTTGTTAGCTTTATGCAGGACATCTTCGGCAGAGGAAGGAAGAAGATGGACCCAAAGGACGAGCATGAGAAGAGGATAATACTAGAAACAGTGGTGAGTCTCTTGCCGAGGGAAAGGAACGCCATGTCGGTGAGCTTCCTTTCCATGCTTCTGCGAGCGGCGATCTACTTGGAGACGACGGTGGCATGCAGGCTTGATCTGGAGAAGAGGATGGGCTTGCAACTCGGCCAGGCAGTGATAGACGATCTACTGATTCCCTCGTTCACCTTCGATGGCGACACCATGTTCGACGTCGACACGGTTCAGAGGATACTGATGAACTACCTCGAGCATGAGGTCAATGGAAGCCGGATTGGCTACAGCACCGACGACGACTACATCTCGCCACCGCACGGCGACATGGAGCGAGTTGGAAGGCTGATGGAGAGCTACCTTGCGGAGATTGCATCTGATCCCAACTTGACGATCGCCAGGTTTATTAGCCTTGGTGAGTTGGTGTCCGAGCAAGCAAGAGTTAACGAAGATGGGATGTACAGAGCCATTGACATATACCTCAAGGTGAGACATCTGCTTCTGCTTCTTTTGCTTCCCATCCGTGATTTGCTGCTACTGACTCAACTTGCAGGCTCACCCGTCATCGACTGATGAGGAGAGGAAGAAGGTTTGCAGCTTGATGGACTGCCAGAAACTGTCAAGGGAGGCTTGTGCTCATGCGGCTCAGAACGAAAGGCTTCCGGTGCAGACGGTGGTTCAGGTTCTTTTCTGCGAGCAGCAGCGCTTCAGAGATGCAACGAGCGGAAGCTTCACGGGGGGAGAATCTCCTGCGCTGTCGCTCAGGTCGACTCCATGTTCGACGAAACATCGCGGAGGCACGGACGAACTCTCGCGCCTGCAAAGGGAGAACGATGACCTGAGAATGCAGTTGCTGAGGATGAGAATGCTGCTGAAGGAAGTGGAGAAGCCATCAGGACAAATACCATCTGCACAGAAGCCTCCGCTGCCGAAGAAGTCCTTCATAAACTCTCTCTCTAAGAAGCTCGGGCGCCTCTACCCCTTCACGCACGCCGACGGTGTGAAGCCTTTCTCCAGCAAAGGTCGGACAAAGCCACCCAAAGATCGAAGACATTCGATCTCTTGATATGTCAGTATCTCTTAAGTGATGATGTATACTATCCTTTCACATCTAGTGATGAATAAATTGTCACCTCCTTCCTCTGATCGTTCCCATTATCGTCTGTATAGGCATCTGCAATCCATGTTTCGCTTGAACTCTGATAGCACCAAGAAAGATGTTTGCAGCGGTTAACCCGAGGCATGTACTTTCCGTTGTTACTTTGTACATATGTGAATACTGTATTCTTTATGTATTGCCCTGTGGATTACTCGTACAAGTTTGAGATCGGAATTGGATCCTTCTCCATCCAACTTCTGATGGGTAAGCTGTCACCTCCATTCGTTCATGGAGAAGAATGACAATTTAGGGGAAATTATCCTTTGGATTCTTGTGTTAGTGGTCTCCTATCACTGATTCTTACTCATCTTCATCTTGTTTTAGCTCATGATCTCAATGCCTCACTGGATTTGTTAGGCAGCAGAAGACTAAGAGGTCAAATGTGGTAGAAAGCTAGCATCATACGAATCATTACAATCTGAAAGAAGCCACCATGTCTTGTTTGGTACATTGGAAGAGCCAAGGAGGTTGTTTTGCTGCATCCTGTCTCATCTGTTCCTCGATGTTGAGCCCACTCTTTCCTTCATTTCTGAACCTGGTGGATATATCTGGGACTAAACCCCCAGATTCGATTGAGGATGAAGAAAAGGTTGATCCTGAATCTGAAGTAAATGTAGCATATTTTCTCTTCCGTTGAGATCTGCTGCTTCCGGTAGCAAGTGTCAGCTCCAACTCACTCTCTTCATCTCCATTGTGCCCTCTGATGTACTCTGCTGGGGCTTCCAGATCAAGAGAACAAAGAGGTTGCCTCCTGTGTGAGTTTCTGTGAGATGCTGTCTCGTTCTCTACATTCCATAACTCGGTTTCTGGCTTCATATGTCGTCGCATTTTCATGGCAGCAGGCTTTGTATTCCGCATCAACAGCTTCTGAATTTGGTACAGACGATGGAGTTCGTGGACCTGAATCAGGCATGTGAATAGAACTCAGAATCGACAGAGGCTTTCTTCATTGTAGGACTAAGCCACAGGGAAAGAAAACCTACCTGGTGTCTGAAAGTTCCTTCCTGCTTTAACATGATCGTTTTCATTTCCATGTAGTCCTTGTCATACTGCTTCATGCATCTCTCCATGGGTTTTCAGAAATGGAGTGAAGATGATGTTTGGGGAGTGATACTTGGGATGCTCTATTGGATAAGGCCAATTTTGTTTTGGATTCTTGCTATTCTTGGCTAATCTTTTGAAGAAGAAATGATCCTAAACAATGGTTGATTGATCTGCAAAAGTTTCAGAAAAATAAGCTGATGAACAAAATAAGCATTTCCTTCAAGAAAAAAAAAACAAATGGTGAACAAGTGACAATGGTCCCATAATTATTACCGAGCTGAGCATCTCATCATTTAATGATCATTTGGCATCTTGTGTCTTGGCCAATTGCAGTTCATGTATACATACATACATGAAGAGGAAAGATGCTTAAGATAGTGCCAAGAACTAAATTTCTGCACGCCTCAGGACATCACTCATCAAGAATGGAGTTCAAGACACTGCAACTTCTGGACTCTATTGTCTGCTTCAGATTCTGTCTTCCAAGAACTGAATGAAAACCTGCAAGAACTAGTGTTGCAAGTTGATTGAATCAAGCAAAGGATAGGAATTCAGGTTGCCTCCAAAAGCTAGGCTACTTATCAGTCAGCTAATCTTCTTGATTGTACCCATCTGAGCTTCTTTTTGTTAGGCAAAAAAGCTCTACCAGATTATTCAGTCTGCAGCAACTCTGCCTATCGGAAGAAAGGTGATGACAAACAAGTAAGATTAGATCAGTCTCATGTTCAGCAACAGAAGAGTAGGTATTCTAAACAGTCTGAGACTATGATTCTTCATGTTGAACTCAGTCCTGCATATTAAAAGGCTTCAGTAGATCATTTCCACAAACTATTTGAGGAGGTGAGAGGTTTTCAACCAGTTTCTTCCAAAGAAACTGCTCTGTATGGGAACTTGAGTAACTCTCAGAAGCACGGAAGGATGTTTCTTGGTGAAACAAAGATCAACACCTAAGAAAAGAAATTGAACAGTAAATGTTTTGTCATCTGGAGGAAATATAAGCAGCCTACTTTCTAGTCCAGGAAAGAAGAAGAAGAAGATTACAGGGTCCATCCATCCTCTTCCCCTTGATATTAGCTGAAGAAATCTAAGAACAATATATGCTTTCCCAAATTACTCGCTATATAATCTGAGGGAGAAATGGTGAAAGGAAATCCTCACCTGAAGTCTTCTATCAGCTTCACTCTTGTGCTATGGAAAGATGGAACTCAGCATTCCTTGCTGATGAGGCAGAGGAGCACCTCAAGATTCTCCACGCAGACTCTACTGGAACAAATCCCAATGCAATAGCTTGGCCAACTGCAGTTGAAGTATGTATGGAGGGAGAAAAGATGCCTCGAGACGATGCCAAGAAGGGACAATGACAGAATAAGAAGAAGACCCATTCATTTTAGGTGCACTGCATTATCTCCAAACAAAAAGCTAAACCTGCCATGGCAGATCCACATGTATCCTGGAATGCCATAATCATTATTACTTGTCACTTTGTGTAAGCATAGACTTTCGAGTCTTTTCTTTAGCTCGGGGTGTGTTTTCAGATCCGAAATGGGAGTCACGGAGTACATATGCACATTTGTCTCATGCGCTGAATTCCATCATCTTCGTTTACTGTCATATAATTGCAGCTTTAATCTCTCGGTGCCAAAACGGGAATCATTGAACTCAGAACGGGATTCCGACAGGACGCACAAATCTACTTCACGACAGGAGAGGTAATGACACAACACATACCGACCAACTCATTGCCATCTCTCTATATTCCCTCTTCTTCGTACTCTTTGCCCTCTCTCTCTCTCTCTCTCTCTCTCTCTCTCAACATCATCTTCGTCATCTCATATGAACTCAGGGCTGAGAAGGCCGACAGTGGCGCGTGCGTTGCCGGCGAGGGGAGGCACAGCCGCAAGGGGGTGGCGGGTTCGGCTGGTGGTAAATGTGCTTATGGTTTCCCATTGCAATCATACCAAACAGAGGACAATAGTATGAAGCGATAATGATGAGGTCACATATTCCAAGACAAGTCTCTCGCTTTCGATCCTCTTAGTTTAGATTAATATTAATAATTTTACCCATTTACTCAATCTTTTAAAATCTCATCCGATAAATTTATATTTATACTACTCCATTAGTCGTATTTAAAATACTTTTAAGCTTATTATATCTAATAAATGTTTTAGAAGATTTCATTAATTCGATATCTTATTGGATAAACCATTGATCGTAAAGTCTTAGAATCAAATTCCATCAATACAAACTTATCCTTTTCACACAAAGAAAATTCTCTTTATGATTATTATTCTTAATTTTAATGATCAATCTAGTTGGATTTTTTGAAACATGAGGTCAACATTAATATAATGATTCTCCTTACACTTGTTTAACATATTCATTGAATTACTTATCTTAGAGAAAAATACACACTACCATATAATCATATCTTGTAATCAACGGGCAAGTAATTTCTTAACTTGCTTAAGTTGTAATATTGTTTTCTATCTAAGAAAAGTCAAAACTTTACGACTGAGTATCTAATCAAAATCTTTATTTTAGTATCTAAAAAAATCATCATTTCTCTTGATGACTTAAGAGCTCGATAGAAATTTTATGAACACACAATGTTGCGCTTTTGGAATGAATTTTAAAAGATAATTTTGAGGGTAAATTATGATTCTAGTATCTATAAGGTATTAGTTTTTCTATTTCTCATTAATTATGCGTCTAAACATATGATCAATTTTTATAACATCTTAATTAGCCGTACATTAAAAGTAGATAAGATTAAAATTTATTTATAAAAATATGATGGGTGTATTATTATAAATTTCAGCTTAAAAATTTTAAATAATAGTTTATGTTACATAAAGTTGATAGACTAATTATCCCATTAATCCTACATCAAAAGTGAATAAGATTAAGATTTACTTATAAAGATGTGATGGATGTATTATTATAAATTTCAACTTAAATATTTTAGATAATAGTTTGGGTTGAATAAAGTTGATAGAGTAATTATCCCATTAAGCTAGATCGTATGAGCCCTCATTTTAGCTTTAAATGATATTGACCGAAGTGATAGTTGATCGTGTAAAATAATCAGACCAACATAGTTTGAGTTTGATCGAAACTCTGTTTTAATCTCTCCTCTCATGGAGGTGTCTATCTCAAGGCTCGTAAGAAAAATAATGTCGGGAGTAAGTTCTTATGTAGTCCTCAACTTTCGAATTAGCATTAAAATGTGGAGATAGAAGAAGAGAATCTGACCTCGTTAATCATGAATGTGTTCACGACTGATCTTTTACTTATTACATAAAAGCTTAAATTTCTAAGATTAATAATCATTCAATAAAAAGCCGCTTCCAATATCTTTGATCTTTCTTCGAACGCTATGATTGAGCCTATACCAAACAAGACAAAGGGCTTTGATGGTGATGGAGATAATTCACACGTAGCTCTACTGATTAATGATCTGTTCATTAGTACAATGAATCTCCACATGTGTGTGAGATGAAGAAAGATAAAAATAAGAGAATAATATGATCTTGATGAGGATTAAAAGAGTTAAGTTACATGTATTAGGTTTTGACCCATAAGCTATTAGCTTAATCTTTTGGGTTTAATTGGTTCTTAAATTGATATATATATTAATCTTGATCAAATTGACAGTCAATACTAAATTACTAACAATGAGTTGAAATTAAGATAAATAAATAAATAATTGGGTCAGTCAAGCAATTACATATACTAAGATTTATCTCAAGCTTCTGAGTTGAATCATTGACATGATATATATCAACCCTAATCAGATTTGATAATCATTATATACATTATTTCGTTGTGGACATAACATTAGCAAGTTAAATGTAGTAATATATATATCAACCCAAACTTTTGCGGTTTTGGTTGTCTATATTTACCGTCCGATGCTTATGGATTTGATTAAATACCACGTCGAAACATGTATCTCAATATCATTCATTTTATATGTTTATATAATAATAACAAATGATATAAATTTGATATCAATTGATGTCAAAATTGATATCAAACCAATATAAACTTTAGAATGAATTCTCTTTAGAATAAGAGAAGAGCGTTGACAAGAGCTTCTCTCTCGGCTATCTTTCGACTGGCAACTCTTCTTTTTTACTTATTGGAGGATAGTATTGAGTGATCTTCGATACCATTTATTTTATTTTATGAAGAATATTTAATGATTTTAGGTATAATAAAATCTTAAAATAGAGAAAATGAATATGATTTATCTTATCTATCACCTCATGGTAAACGATTTTTGTTTATCGAGACATTCTTCGACAACAAATCAGACATATATATATAATTAAAAAATAATATAAAATATTATTAAAAATATATTAATTAATAATCGATCTCAAATAATTAAAATTTATGATGTTATTGCTATCCTATAAATCATAGGAAATCTAAACACGAATATGAATCGACCATTGGAAGAAGGAGGAGCGGAATCTTTGGGTGAAGGAGACAAAGAAAGATGAAAGCCCATGCGGTGATCCTGACGTCACGGAGGGACATGGCACGTGGCCATCGCTGCTTGCAAACAAGCACACATTTGGAGCTTGGTTGGATTTGAGTGTGGTGGGGCTCACCCACCTCTTTGTTATTTTAATCGGTAGGACCCCCACCTGCTCCAATCGATTAGTATTACCATTTGGCTTAATTAGAGCATTTTTAGACACTGATAGAGGGCAAAGTTTTCATCCGTGATTTTATCTTTTTCACCTCATTTTTGTGCATCCAAGAGATTAATTCTAATATCTTATTCGACTCTAGTAGTCATACAAGCTCGAGTCTATAGAAATTTTATATTGACTAGTCAAATCAAATCAATTAAGGAAAACATATATCATATTAGACACTAATTTAATTTAAAAGTTTAAAATTTTAAGTATGAGTCAAACTTAATATATATAATCTAACTCTTTCGATCATTAACGATATACGACTATCTCTTCGGGATATCTCTTTTTATCTAAGACATATGAATATTTTCAATAGAAACACCTTCTCGATTATTTTCATAGTCGTATGTATGTGATCCAAAATCAAGTCAGTTTGACAATGTGATATCATCGATAATCACTCTATCAAACATCATAAAGTTCTAAACTTAATACTTTTAGAATTAGTTTGTTAGAAGAATTGGTATTGATATCAAGTGTAGATGCTTACAATAGGATTGCTACCGCTCAGCAACTTGTTGGTGCATCTTGGCATTGAGATCAACTTAATAATAAGAGGTTTTCTTGGAGTTAAATTATGTGATCATTCATTGGGCGAGTGGTGTTTGGCGTGGCGTATGTGCATTGCCATCTCTTGTAGCTCGACGTGAGGGTTGGCACAAAGAAGCTTTGTGAAGGAGGAAGAAGGTGAGAATTAGAAAGGGTATCGAATGCACGAATGTGCATGGATTCTCCCGGGCCCACCGAGGACATGCAATGAAACCTCTCGAGACATGATGGATGCCAAATCTTATCTTGTCCGAGTGTATGACATGACCCATTACTTCTATCTTAAGTATCGGCAACTTCTTTTGCCACCAATCGTGTATTGGGTATCTTTAAACTTGTTTAAAGTACTCGGAGATAATAATTTCACATAAAAATATTTTTAATTTTTTTTTAATTTAGAGTTTGATTGTTCTATAAATATTTTAAGTTTAGTTTACTCATTATAATAAATTTCACATGACAAAAATAATTAATTTTTCCTTATGGATTTTGTTACGATAGATTTTGATTGTTTGATATTCGATAAGTTTGGAGCCGATGTAAACTTTATTTACATGAGTTTCTTAATAAAATTATATTAGAGGTGTGTTTGACAAATATTTATGTTTAATTGGTAAATGAGTTCAGATGATCGAGAAGAGCAATAGCTATAACCTCTCAATTGATGTACTCGAGATATTTTTATGTCCACATATGTACTTTGTGAAGGTAAATAATATGTGCTAAAAATCCACTTTGGGTAGGTAAATAATATGTACTAAAACAATGTGTAGATTTCACGTATTTATCTATCTATGTATTGTATGGATTGTTTGGGCTAGTGATCATTATTTATAATTTTTTATTATTTTTAAATTTTATTGCATATAAATGCTTGTGATCGAGGATATGAATATTACGTAATATTTTTATTATTTTGTAGCCTTATAATATAATTGTTTCAATTGAAACTTATAATTTTATTGTTATTGTTATTGTATAATACGATTGTGCCTCTGAGATGAATGAAATGTGATCGGAGTTGAAATGATGTACAACTAAAGAACTAATGAGTGAATGAATATATAGAAATGTCACACTAAGAAATCAAACCACATCTATTCCTACTAAAAGATCACACGATCGTATTCTTATAATAGTACTTTTAGCCTTTTCATGTTAGGAGCAAAGACTAATCATTATATTATTTTTTTCTTGTTCTTTTCCTTACAAAAGGTTTAATTTACCTAAGTAACACCCCAACTAAGATTTGATAATATTATTATCAATTTTTATTGAAGGATTCTAATCAATAATTTTGGTTCAATAAAGTTAATGTGTCAATTATCCCATCAAAATCGTAACAATTGATATTAGAGCCAATCTAATATTAAGGTCTAGTGAAGATCTTGAGTAGAAAATGATTATCTATGGACAAAGTTATATCATGACAATTAGTATCAAAACTTCCGTAGTATTAGGGCACGATGAAGGATTGAAAGAGTTACTTATAGACGAAATTATTACATCAAAAATGGGCTTAAGTATTTTGACGAGCAATATGGGTTCAATAAAATTAATAGGTCAATTATCACGAAACATGACACATCTTAAACAAAGAATAAAATGAGTGGCATGCAACAAAATGGGCCAATTAGGCTCCATTTATAAAGAGTTTTTAATCACCTTGGGCTTGAACCCAATTTGAAACTTAATTTCTAACTTTATTCTCCAAAATGACAATATGATCATCCTCTTCTCTCTCTCTTTCTTTGTGTTTAGCCTAAAAATAAGGCGTATAGAGTTTAGCTAGTGTCGTAATTTTGTAAATTTTCTTGAAAAGTTATGAAATCAAGAGATTATAAAGAAGAACGAGAAGAATAAAGAGATTTCACAACTAAATATTAATTCATTCAGTCAATTATTAATATACTAAATCAGACTAAAATGGAACTTGTTATTGATACGAAGATGAAAACATGAACATTAGCCTGACACCTTGGACTCACACAAATGATGCATGCCTGATACCTTTGGCCTACATGGACAATGCTTGTCCAATACCATAGTGTCACATAAGATAACCTTTTAATATCATATGATCGAATTAGTTGAATTGTCACTATACTATCGGGCTCTATATAATCCGACGACAATTAAGATCAAGAGAAATACATATTCACTCCCCAAAACTAGCACCAATCACGAAAGTAATGACTTTAAGAGTCCACCATAAAAAGACTCCCTATGTGTATTCTATATACTCTTGAATATAATTTTAGAGTTCGTTCCAAATCTTTTTGAGTTTCGAAGTAACTTAATCATAAGAGAGATATTAGTCAGAAACATCCTCGGCCTAGTTTTGTAAGATTTGATATCTTCATAATCATATGAATTGATTATAGTCGAGATGAGATAAACAGAGAAGAGGATCTCGATTGGCTCCGAATCGATATCTAACTCAAACAATCAAAAATCAACTTAGCAATTATAAATAAACGAGAAGAAAAATAACATAAGAGTGTCTTTAAATTTTTAAGAAATAACGATATTTAATGGGGAAAATAAAAATATATATAATTCTCTTAGAGAGAAAAAAAAAAAAACCAATATTTTTTTTCGAAAATTCGTCCTATTAAAAGGTTAGAGAGGAAGGTCCATGATTGAATCACGATAGTGACGGATCGAATGATCACGGGGTTGCAAGACTACGGCCGTTTCCTGCAGCACGCCCCCAACGGTCCGCCGCTGGTAGTTAACCTACTCGGATCAAACCCGGCCCACCGTTCGCGACCGTTACGCTCTGGCATACCTAACTCGCATGTGGGCCGCGATGTCGGACACGCCCATACTTTTTATCGCAGTCATCGCGCGAGTATACGGCACAGTCAGCTGCTGTTTCAGATCTGATGCCTCCAATCCGATTCAAATCACGGATAACGGGATGATCTGCTGGTCCCCACACTTACGTGTCGGTGGATGGCACCGTTGGGGACCGGGAAAAGAAAATTCTTCCCGTCCGACGGGGAGGTATTCCAAGAGCAGGTGACCGGCACGTGGCGACTCGGTAGAGGGTTTGGGTTGGGCGGTGAACAGAGATGTGGCTTTTAAAAGGGGGCGTTTGGAGGACCTCACCGGATCGGTGAGCGTCCTCTTCAAACCCCTCTCTCTCTCTCTCTCTCTCTGGGGCGAGGGATGGCTTGGTGGGATCGGGTAACATCGCCGATGAGGAGGGTCTGGGCAGGCGTCGCCATCCGCCTCGGGATCAGCAAATCCGGTGAGTCCCTCTTCCGCACCCAATGCCTCCTTCGGACGGCCGGGTTTAATTCCTCTTCTCCCGGTGCTATCTCGCAGGGCTGACGCGGCTGAGGGAGGAGGTGAGTACGTGCGAGTACGAGGACGTGCACGTCTTGTGGGAGTTGCTGACGGAGTCGGGGGGGCGGGGCGGACCGCTCCGGGTGGCAGCACCGAGGCGGACGCGCCGGCGGGACGGGTCGCACGTGTGGGAGTGGGCCGGCCTCTGCTTCTGCCGCAGGTTCTAAGGGCGTCGCACGCGTGGCGACCTTCTCGGTGGCTGTTGTAAATAGCAAATGTTAGGGCTTGCTGAGCCAAAGACCACTCTCCATATAAATGGCCGGCCTCAAGATACGTGTTATGTGCATTGGTAAGGTATCATGATGCTGATATTAGCTCATATCAGTTGCCAATCAATCATATTTTTGTATCGATTAGTGGATGGTCACTATGTATGTTTTCGTATCTCGTCTTTTCCCTGCCGAGGCCAACTATATAATTTGTAATTTATGTTCTGGAAAGATGCTTTTGTAATTTCTTTGGAGTACTTCCATAGGTCTGGTGACAAGTCCACTAACAAATGGAAGGTGATGATCCAACAAGAGACGTGCGTGTGTTTCCATGTTGGTTAAAACAAGAACAAATGTTTGATGCTCCCATAGGCCAACATGTGACCGAGGCCTAATAATTCCGGGGGAACCTACCACGTTGACAGCGTGAGATGCAAGTGGACCGGGGGAACCTATCACTTGATTGCATCAATCAATACGAAACGTAAAAGGTTGTTGTTTGTATTGCCAATGTTGGGACCGAGACGTCGTTGGGTATGTCATGATCACAGGTTGTATGAGATGGAACACATGAATACTCTCACGAGAATTCTTTCTATTTTCACTACAGCTCGGTGACTACATGCACTAAGACTCTTTTGGACATTAAAGCAAACAGGTGTTGCTCACAAAATCCCAAGCTCATCATCGATCGATGACTACATCCACCTCGACTCATAATCTCCAGTCGAATGTTAATTTACTCGATGAAAAGGCAAAACCTGAAGCAGGGGGGAATCCGGAAACAGCGATGACGGCAAGTGGTCGCAAGTCGTTCGAGCTTCCACCTACCCGGATTTGCCGACAGAGAGCTGCTCTTCCTCAGCAAACTCGCGCTGAAAGGGGTCATGGGTAGAGAAATTTCATGACGTAATCGAAGAAGGGGAGAGAGGAGAGGGTATCGCCATTGATGGAGGGAGTAAACGTCGAGTTTTTGAGAGGCGACGCACCGAACGGTACTCTGTGCGTTTCCTTAAAATACGTCCGGTACTTGTTTGATCAAATGCATGACAGAAACAAGAAGCAGAATTAACGCCCACCTCACGCAGTTACGGAGAAGCCATGGGAATTGAGGGTAAATACTGTCATCTTTTACCAGTGTTAACTTACTAAATAGATTCCTCTGCTTCGGAATCTGCAATATGGCCTTCTTTATATCGGTCGCTGACGACAGATTAATTAAGCCAGTAGTAATATGGTCACGCACAACGCACTACTCTTTAGTGGTTTTGCCTGCAATCCGCGGAGCGTGACGTGCTCTCTTCCCCACGCCCACGCTCACGCTCACGCTCCCTGGTTTTTAATTCCCGGTCTCTCAGCGTACTATAGTAAATGGAGGGAGGGAAGGGAGCGTGGGAGGCAGTCATGGCGGGTTTCCCGGTGCCCCCTTAAAATCTGTGGCGGTGGTGACGAAAGGAACTCCCTGCTCCGGTTCCCTTCAGCCCCTGTTCTCCCCTGTCCCAACAATTATGGGCTCCTCTGTTACTTAAGGGCCTGTTTGCGAGCCCCTTCTTTGCCTAGCTTACAGGCACGCGGCAGATATCATTGTGGTGCGGAAGAATCCTGTGGAAAGATGGGATCTTTGCGCTTCTTTGCTCTGGTTTTCGTGGCTGGAGCAGCGGTTGCGTTCTTTTCCTCCAGCAATAGAGTCGCCATTGCTGCAGGTTATGCCTCAACTGTGCCCGCAAAGGGTGGAGGTGTCATGGCGATCATCACCAACAAGAAATTGAAGGTACCATCACTGGTGTTTCACAGGCATAGCAGAATGCCTTCTCCCTGATCAAATGGTACTAACGAGCATGCATTCTTCTCAGGACGACAGCTTCGACATCAGCGCCATGAGAAATGGAAGGGATTTAGCAGGTGCAAATGTGGAGGATTACTTCCCATTCGATACAGTGCCAAGCTCGAAAGCCGCCATCAAATCCTGACCAATCGAACACGGTACTCCTCGCATGCCATGTATCCCCCGGCCAACGCCACCAAGCCAACCCAAGCATGGATCATCTCCCTGAGCAGCTCTGCTTCGCCTATCACTTATCAGATCTGTAGGTGTACTGTTAATTACTAAGTTTCTGGTGTTGTAATACTCATCAGGATAAACCAAGTACGGCAAGTTACTATGACTCTCTTGTACGATGGTGAAACAAAGACTATGCATGTGGTTGTATGATATCCACGCTCGGTTTGATGTTTTTATCCGGAAGATATGATCTTCTGCAACTATTCGTTGCAACACATTGGGGAAGACGACGCTCCTTGGTTCGTCCCGATAAGATCCCTACGTCTTGTTCTTCAAGTCTTCAAATGACAACGGTTAAACCGGACGCTTGCTCTCAAAAGCAGATCAGTAAAACATGCCAGAATAATCTTAGAACTGTGAATTGATTGAGACATCATACCTTTCGCCTTTATGTCAAGAAATAGACCGAGCCTACTCAGGCAGGGAGAGATAGATGTCTTGGAAGAAAATGAAGGAGATTACGATGAACCTCCATTGTTAATGCACAAGCTTGAATCTTCTCCATGCTATCGCACTATCATATTGACATGATTATATTACATGTCACTTTACCTCACTTTGTAGTGCATTTTGTCAACATAGGCAATCAATTGAGAGCTAGGTTTCTGTGAACAGATCTTGAAGCAGCAAGCTAATGATAGGTTTAACTGATTTCCTTTCCCTGTTCACAAGATCAATCATTCTAATAGCTTTCTGTTCTTCTTTTTTGCTGTAATTTATTTACCAAACTTTCATGTTTGTGTTGGAAATCTCTCGAGTCATATTTCCACAAGTCCAATGTTTGTGTTTCTTTGGCCATATTATGACTGGAGTTGAAGAAAGTCTTGTCTTCTTTGGCCACCATGACATTGTATGAGGTTTCACAACTGCAGTCAGCATGACATGAACTGCTTCCTACACGCAAAGTTCTTTGGATCCAAACTGATGTCTTCAGAAGGTTGATGTCTCTTTGGTGCCTTAATGGAAAGTGTTGGGGGAACACAGAGGTCAGAGCTTCGACAAAAGTGAGATTCCCTGCAGTGTAAAGGCTTTCACTTTGGTGCTGCATGCAGACCCACAAGGATTTCTCGTGATAAAAGGATGGAGATGAGAAAAGTGGATGAACTGTGCCTCTCTGTAAAATATAAAGACAATGGACCCCAAAAGCTTGGTGGTGGAATGTTCACAAAGGGGACCAGATCTCATTGAACTTTACTGTCTTTATCGCTAAGCTTGAAATGTTGATGTACAGGTAGAGGTGACGAACTGCAAATTTTGGTCTTTCAATGTCTACACCAGTTTGGTACTGATGATCTGAGTCTCCTTATAAATTATTGTCTGATAGCTTCTCTCTCTCTCTCTCATGTTCTGCTACTCTAACAATAAATCTTTCTGCTTCTACTTTTCCTTTGGATATGATGCAAAATTTCTTGATCTTTGAAAGCTTAGATACTTGGGGAAGGACTACTTTCTGATGTTAACCAAGAACAGATGTTTTGTTCTTGGTTGGCTCGGTACAGTACAGTACCAACGTACCGAGCGGTATACTAGGGTGTATCGAACGGTACACCGTAGTACTGCTAAAATGTACACTGTAGCACTATAGCATGGTCCGTTCGGTAACGGACGGTTCCCGTACCGATAGCCTGTCGGACCAATACGTACCACCCGTATCGAGCGGTATGATTCGTATGACAAACCTTAATTCAAAGAGTTTGTAATTAATTTTAAAATTTTAATTTTCTTATAGAAAACTTATCGAATTAAATTAAAATTTTTTTTAAATATTTGACAAGACCAAATTCGACCATGCATGTGCATCTGTCATACGTAGTTAAAGTTGTGTTGAGACACTCATTGGCCGGTAAGAGGAGGACGGAGAACCGCCCGTGGGCTCTGATGAGCACAATGACAACGTGTTGAGAGAGGTCGGTAGTGCCCCACCACCCCACCCCCGCCCCCCTCCTCCCCACCCACCCACCCCACACACGGGGGAGGGGAAGGGGGTGGGAAGGGAGACCGGAAAGCTGACTCCAAGCCTAACCTAACAATAATTCTATTACGTTGTTCATTCACCTCACGAAGCCACTATACCATATACATATATAGCTAAAATGTCCTATTTGACACTGATGTCTCACCACACCATATGTCCCCAGGAAGATACATACTGCAACCCCACGTAGATCAACATCTTCCTTCCCTTCGATATCGTTGCGGAAGAAGGTACAGTTGGGAGTCCGTGGAAGAAGAAGAGACAAAAGTTGTCCATGGGCTCAGCATGGTAAGAGCTTTACCTGCATTTGCAAGCTGAGCATGCTGAGAGCAATGCACACCTAATCCTGCCTAAACCATTAATGATGACCACCAAAATAAGGATCCGATAAGGGACATGAGCCGGACTCATCAACTAATGTTTCCTTCTTGACCACCTCGACCCCCACACAGTTCCTAAAACCGAGAAGAAGTGCAGAGAAAGGTGAGAGATCCCTTTGGTGGAAACTACCCCATCATCATGTATTTTGTTCTTAATACATCACATCATTTATATGGTTGTTCGACAGGCGTAGCTTAAGATGTTGAGGGATTGGATGCTCCTCTGCCCCCACCCATTTGTTCTCTCTTTGTGCCACTATTTATTGCATTTCATGTGTTAGCTCACTGTTGGCAAACTCCAGTTTACAATCTCAATTATATTATACACTCCCACTCCTATCTTAGCAAGGGAGCAAACACCCCACTAAAATACAAATAAAGAAAGCTTGGGGATATAATGTGTGTGTGTGAGAGAGAGAGAGAGAGAGAGAGAGAGATGAGAAGAGAGGGGGAAAGAATCTAAACCTCCACCTGCTCTGAGATGCAAAGCCTTTCTCTTTGCTTCCCACTCTCTTCTTCTGCTTCCAATTCTTCTAATTCTCCTCCGTCAAGGAGTGTAGAAGAGGTCTGGGGTCTGGTGCTCCGCCTGGCGATGTGACCGCTAACTGCCTTTCCCGCTACCGGCTGTCGTAGTTCGAGAAGAAAGTCGGAGATCGAGATAGGTCGCCGGGATCTCGAACTAGATCGATGGTGGCCGCCACCGCAGCCACGACCGTCGCCGCCGGGTCCAGGAAATCTCCGAATCCCCACAAGAACGCTTCTGCCCCGCCGCATAGCGACGGTCTCCGTAACCCTCATCCCCGGATGCTGATCCCCTCCGAGAAGGACAATGCCGCCACCGGCGCAGGACGAGCTCGCACCAAGAAGGTCAATTCTCGGTTCCTCCCCTCTTATAGCTGCCCCTCGTCCTCTACGGCCACTTCGTGTTCTACCACCACTACCTTCTCTTCTTCGAGCTCTCGGCGCTTCCCGTCGCCGTTCGTGACCCCCCGGCCATCGACGCTGCCGGCCTTGCCCCAGTGTACGGCCCAGAAGCGATCGCACTCCGTCGGTCGGGCTCGGCCTTCCACGACTGTCGCCCATCCCTGCCCAACTCCGGCCGAGCCCTCCGCTGCCACCCGTGCCTTCTGCATGACCCGGAGCCTCTCGGTCTCCTTCCAGGGGGAATCCTTCTTCTACCGGATCAGCCGACCCAAGCCCGCCTCCCCCACGTCCGAGCGGCGGAGACATGGTGCCACTTGTGCCCCTCTGGCGAAGGCTGGTGATCATTTAGAGAATTCGAGGCCCTCAGACAGCCACCACCTGTGGCCCGCTTCGAGAGCTCCGCCGTCCAACCCGTTGACGAGGAGCTTGAATTGTTCCTCTGAGAAGAAAGAACCCATTTTGGCCACCGTCAGGTTACTCGAGCAGTCTATGATGTTTGATGATACTACGAGGAGGGCTTCGTTTGACCAGGGTGATCTCTCAGCTTCGTCCGATACCGATAGTGTGTCTTCTGGTAGTAATTCTGGGACGCCAGAATTCATTGTGCTCCCACGGGCAAAGGTGACTCCCCGTGGGATCAGTGTGCCGGCAAGATTTTGGGAGGAGACGAACAACCGGCTGTATCGGCATCCTGAGCCTTGCTCCCCTTCATCTTCACCGGACGCAAGGCCCGTGGTACAACCAAAGCTGGGAACGGTGAAGAAATTGTCGGTGGATAACCCTTTGTCTTGTTCGAGGCCAGCTTCTCTGCACCATGGAACCATGGCACCTTCTTCTCTTAGCAAGCCTATAACTTCACCAACGAGGGGTATGGCTAGTCCATTGCGGACAAGGAGTAATGTATTATTGAACAGCTCACCATTTGGTCAGCCGGGCAATGCCCCTTCAATTATAAGCTTTTCTACTGAAGTGCGGAGGGCAAAGAAAGGGGAGAATCGGATTGAGGAAGCTCACTTGTTGAGGTTGCTTGATAACCGGCATTTGCAATGGCGATGTGTTAATGCCAGGGCCTATTCTGCACTGCTAATGCAGAAACTAGCTGTAGAGGTAATGTTGATGTTAATTTTCTTCTTCAATTTAGTGCTTGTTATATATGCGGTAGTTTGTGATCAAGTTCCTATTTGTGCTGACTACCCCAGCATAACATGATCATACATGTCGTACATGTAAATTGGTTATTCTGTCAAGTAGTTTGCTTTGGCATAAGAGTAGGTTCTCTAATTCCTTTCGGCACAAAACTTTTGTTTCTTTTTCAGTCTTTCATTCCTTACCAAATAACTATAGCTTTCGTTTCATGTTCTTGAATTAAAAAGACCAAACTTGTAAGTATTTTCTTTTCCTTATTTTCCGCTTCATATAATGATCAGTATATGATCAATAATTCCTGTTGTGCACTTGTACTACACTTGTAATATTACTGTACTGAAAATATGATGAAACTTTAGAACTTTATTATGTCCTTGGTTGTGAGTTGAAATTGTCCTAATGATCCTCTTCTCTTCTCAGATACTACTGTTTGATTTGACTTTCATGATTTATATATTCTGTGAAATCATTTGTTTCCGATAGCTCAGAACAAGGCAATTACTAGTGTCCTTTGGAACAAAAGAAAATACGGTGCATTAAAATAATGGAAAAATATGATTGCAGAATATTTGATTTACTGTTAAAGAAGAAGAAGAAAAGACTATGGAAGATGTTGCTCATGAAAAGAAAAAGAAGATTAAAAAGCGACTAATTGTTGTGTTGTATATAGTTTTCCGATAACCCTGCAGTTTAAAGAAACATTTAAAAGGATGTGTAGTATACAAGTACTATCATGCTTTAAGGATCAAAATGTTGGACTGTTTAGAAACTACATATATTGAAGGTTAGTCTAGTGCACATTGTTGGAATGGATGACTACTCTTACAAGAAAAGACGGATCGTCTCATATAAGCCAGATGGAGCTTTAGTTGTCTTTTTTCTTGCTATTATTTTTGCTAAATGTTTCAGTTATGCTTTCAGTTAAATCATCCTTTTCATCTATTGTTTTGCCTTCAGTTACATCATCCTTAATTTGATGTTTTTGCTCATGAATTTTGTCCTGAATGTTATAGTTATGCTTTCATTCAAGTCTAAAATTCTGGTTAACTAATGCTTTTTGTTTCATCTATGTCAATGAAATTTATATGGTGCTTTAATAGCTAAAGTTTTCATTTGATCCTTACAGAAGAAACTGTATGATGCATGGATAACTACCTCAAAGTTGCGTGATTCCATCACTATTAAAAGGATCAAGCTACAACTTTTGACACAAAATTTAAAGCTAACTTCCATTCTTAAGGGGCAAGTAAGCCTTTGTTTCCTGATAGTCTCTTTGTTTGATTATCTGTGAAAGTCTTTGTTAACCTATCTTTTAGTTTTAATTTAGTTCGGTGGTTCTTCTCTCCCTCATAGTTATGTAAGTATATTTGGACATTTTGATTAATCAGTGTATGTTCGATGAAAATTTGAAGTAATCGTAAATGTGGGTCTTTGCTCAAGATGCCAACCATCCACCATATTCCTAGTTGGGAAGCCTTGGACAACAAAGAAACCAAAATGTTTTTTGGAAGATTTTACCCAATTCTCTTGTTGTTTATGCAGAGTAGTTTCATAAAACCAAAGTGCCAAGTTGAAACTCTCTCCAGGATTCCTCTAGCCTCCAAAAGTGTGTATGGAGGAGAGGAACAGACAATCATATGATAAGTGGAATAAAATCATCTCTTTGTCATCAATAAGTAGCCATGGAGACAGAAATCATATCATTCCTCTTATGGTTCAACCGAAAACTACAAGTGAAATATCTTGAGAGAAAATACTCGAGTGACAATGGTGAAATCTAATGAACACAATTTGCTAGGTTCAACAATACATTCTTGACATGTTTCTGCCTAACAAATTGACAATGAATAGTGAATTACTTAAGAGTTAGTGTCAAGTTTTTCAAAAATTGGTGAATCCTAAAAATGGTCAATTCAAATCAAGAGTTGTTTGGGTCCAACCTGATACCCTTGAACTTATAAGAGAGAATCGCAACTCAAGTCTTCATAAGAATCAGTTAGGTTGCTTATACCCAAGCTAGTCATGATCAATGTCAAATGATACCACTACTCCTGTCCAATTCTCTGTTAAACTTATAAATCCCAGTTTATGCAGATGAACTTTTGCCAATTTGATTGATCTGGTTAATTTTAGCTGATTACATGTCCTTGTTGAAACCAGCCATTTGTTATACATTTAGTTGTTTATGAGCATCAGATTTGAATTTCTACAACTTCGTTAGTGCAGATGGCCTCTTTGGATGAATGGTCTGTCATGGAGAAAGATCATTCAAGCTCATTATGCGGATCTATTGAAGCATTAAATGCTAGCACACTCCGTCTTCCTGTTGTTAGTGGAGCCAAGGTTAGTATCTTCTGATTCTTCATTTCAATGAATGAACTCGGTGATATCAGTTCAAACATTGAGAAATAACATGGTTTGCTTATTTCACAGGCAGACATCTTGGAAGTTAAAGATGCTGTTGGTTCAACAGTCGATATGATGCAGGCAATGGGATCCTCAATTTTCTCTCTACTATCAAAGGTGACTGCCTATACAAAATCATCTTGTCAAGTGATAGTCTTTTCTTCCATCATTGCTTTAGATGCTTTGGAGTATATAAAACTGGTGCATATTTCAAATTCTGTGTCAGCCTTTTGCATCAGGAACAAAAATTATCGATTGAGAGGAATGATAAAAATAGAAACCAAAAAGACTCAATTGTAGAAATTGGCACAAACAGCTCCAATACAAAGAGGTTGAGGGCTCAAAAACATGCAGCTTAAAAGTAATTTCGTTCCACGTCATGTTTCTAGCAACAAATGGAGATTCTCTGCAGAAAACCTGTGTCCTGATAATTCACTGACATGTTCAAAGGGAAATTTCTTCGTCACATACCAGCTAATTGGTTCATTCTGATGTGTTTTCTCCAAGAACAACCTACCTCATGTCATCTACATGATTCCAAGTGTCTGATCCATCCTTTAACACAGACTACTGTATCTGATCATAGGACATAGGTTAACGCCATAAGATTTTTTTCTTACCTGATTTCCATATGCATATACATTTGTACAGGTAGAAGGAATGAGTACCTTGGTATCTAACATAACTAAAGTGGCTGCCCAAGAACGAGCACTACTCGATCGATCTAGAGATCTCCTATCTACAGTAGCAGCTATGCATGTAAGTCTCACTTCTGCGTCCATTTCCTTTTTCCTTATTCCAGGTATCATGCAGTAATTTCTTAACACAAACTGATGAACCAGGTAAAACAATGTAGCCTGCAAGGGCATCTGATACAACTAAAACGAGGAGCCCACCTGATCTAAGCACAGAGAATATTCTCTTGCTAAATTTGCGGTCACTAACATCACAACAAACTCTTCTTTTTATAACCGGAGGATTTCGAAAGGAAATAAAGCATGAAGTATTGGTTTGCTTTGCTGGAAAGCTAATGGCCTAATACTACCTTTGTGGCCTGGGATGGTTGATTTGTGTATCTTCTTTTCGGTTCTTTTGATCTCTTTTGGTGTATGTGTATCATCATAGCGATGCCCCTCCCCCCCTTTTTTTTTTCTTGCAAGAATTGGCTTGCCTGTATACCAGAATGTTGTTCGTCTCATACTAAATCAAAGGAAAAGTTCATGTACATATATGATGCCTTAGATACATATCATTACTCTTATGAATCTAGATATGTAAAGTGATTTGGAGTCCATGGGGAGTCACTTTCCAATCTATCTCGAGTTGAGGTATGGGAAAATTGAGATATTCGAACAGAAAAGTTAGATTATATGATCCTATCTAATTAGATAAGATATATCGTAAGTAGTTCTAGCTAATTAGGTAAGATATATCATGAATATGATTGAATTCTGATTACGGTTATCGACCAATAGAAAAGAAATATAATTATGATAGGATTTCTTAGGAGAGGAACATCTTTAATTATTTATTCTAAATATTTTGCTCTCATCTATAAAAGGGCATGACCTCTTAGGAACTCAATGCGAATAATTGAATACGTGGATATACAGATAAATAAGGATCCGTGGATATATAATGTGATTGAGAGATTACATATCTTCTCTCACCTTCCTTTAGTCATGTGAACCAAAGAGATTACAAATATTCTTTTATCTCTCTTTTGTCTCTAAATTAATCACTCATAAGGGTCCTATCAAGGATAAGAAGAAAGGCGTGAATCAGTTTTTATTTATGATGCATGAATGATTTGTTTGTATTCTTGATTTGCTTTTCCATCTAATCCATCCTATTACTTGTTTACGAGTGATGTAAGGTTACTCGTGCTTGATCGATGAACTACTATCGATAGCTTGCTGTCGGTGATAGTATTATTGAGGGCGATAGCCTCTAGTGGTCGCTAGCCTAGTCGTAAGCAATAGCTACATACCCAGTGCAAGTACTATAGAGTGCGACAGCCCTATGGCAGCTATAATAGTGTCACTTCCTATGATGGCTGCGAAGGCTATGCACTATTGTTGCGTATAGCAATTGTACCAGCAATGTTGTTGCCTACAGCAATTGCGACGATTGCAATAATGTCGCTGTGGTAGCATCTACTGGTCGCGACCGTCATCACTAGACGTTGAAGGCCAATAGGGCTGCTAGAAGGTGTGTGTGTGCACAATTGCACTATGACGACCCTGGTGGATTGCCGGGCGGCATGCGGACACAACATGCATGGGCAGGGAGGCAACTATACATGGTGGCGGTGGCCATGCCTCGTAGTAGCCGCAAATGATAGTTGCGATGCCAGGAGTGGTCGCGCATCACGTAGCGATCACAAAAAGGGAGCGATTAAAGTTTTTAATAAAAAAGATAGCTTTATCCCTCATAAATTTGATACTTTTCATCTATATCCCTAAGTTTACTTTCCAACTATACTCTTAAGAATTTAAAAATTTTAGTTGTATATCCTAATTAAAAGCTATAGTTTTACCTTTCAAAAATTAAAAAATTCTAGCTAATGTCCTCAATTATAAAATTAACTAATTTAATTTATTTTAATCAAATATTTTGATTAAACTTGATCGTGTTTATATTTTAATTGCTTACTAGATTTAGATTTGATTAATTAAGTTTTGATCAAATTTAGGAAAATATCAAATTTTGATTATTTTTATTTTGATCAATTTTAATTTTGATATTCATAATGAAACACATGATTATGAGATTTAGATAATCTAAAAAAGAATCCATTTCAAATAATTATATGATGAGCTAGAATCATATTGTATTAGATATCATTATAGTTTAGGTATATATACCCAAAGGTAACAATACTATTCCATAAGGTAATTTTATGTGTCAATTGTATATTTCACCCAATAGAAATGATATTAATAGTCATTATTACCTAAAAACTCAAAGTGTTAATATTATATTATTATAGTGGTGCTTCTTTCATTGTATCATGTACTTATATTTTCTAGAGTAAATAGTTTGAGCATATATAATTTACACTGTGTGTTAGACCTTGATTACTAAAACTTTTATGGAATAAATAATTAAGATAACTATTAAAAAAAGGTTTAAAAAACTTAATTTTATGATAATTATTAGTAATATTTATACTTCTTTACAATATACAACTAGCGTATTGGATTATTTAATGATCAATTTAAGTTTATTTACAAGTCATTAGATGACATATTAATAAAAAAAACTGACTGAAATTTAGTATAATAGAATTTGAGGAATTCGGTATTATATCCTCAACATGGCTGATAAAGTTGTAAGCTCAATAATATTGAGTATGAATGTAGTTGAGTCATTTCTCGTATAATTTATTCTTAATTTTATTTTTTTCTTAGTTTGACTAATTTAAAATTCATTATAATAAAATTAAAAATAAGTAAAACTTAAATGAGTCAACTAATATATATATTTGGAAAGAATTAAGATTAAAATATAAAAGACTCATAATATTTTGAGTACTAATCAAGGAGTGTGTAATAATAAAAGAAAGTTAGAGGCGTAAATCACCTAAGTTTATAAGTGTTATACAAACTCATAAAAAAAATCTTTACAGTAACGTATTACTTCCATGGCAAAAAAATGTCATGTGAAGAATTATAATGTTTGGTTTGAAAAGGAAAAATATAAGTTTGACCTTTGTTTCAAATCAAACGTTAGAGAAATCCATTTCTAATATTTGGTGGATGGATTATTATACTTCAACATAAGTTACTAATAATAAAGATTCATTTTAATATAAAAACTAAAAAAGAATGAAATATTTAGGTACTTATTACCTACGGCTACATATGATTTATTTAATGGATCTTAAGGATACATAATATGTTCTTAATTGTTAGGATATTGTTTTCCTCTCGGTGGTTATAAACTTAGTATGATTTGATAAAAGTTAACCTTTAAATTTTATATGATAGACTATATAGAATTAATGTGAATCCTTGAGTTTACAATAATCATATAATCAAATGTTATGATAAAATATAGTTTCATAAACTCTTTGAGATTATATATATTTATATTTGTGGGTTACTCCATGTTTCTATTTTAGCGAAGAGAGATATTTTATCACCTTTATTGATAACCTATTGAGATATCACTATATATATCTAATTTATATAAGGTCTATAACTATTGACACCATTAAGTATACATAAATGAAATCGAGAGACAATTAGATAAGAGAAGTCAAAATTATTAGATCTAATATGGGTGATAAATTTTATGATAATTATGATGAATCCGATCATAATTTTAGTTAAATGTGAAATCATATATTTATGAATATTATTAGGAGCATTATGGATTATTATTCTATACCCGAATCAATGTAAGAAGAATACTTAAGAACAATAATATATATCTTGAATACGTTTTCTAGTAAATCAATTCCATTATTAGCAATAAACCCAACCTGTAATATTTATATATTTAGGATTGTTCTATAAAGATAATGGTTTTCAATTCATATGAAAAGAAATTATATTCAAAGATTTTTTTTTGATATTTTATTAGTTATCCAAAAAATTTAAATAGGTATAGATTTTATTGCTCTATTCATAATATAAGGATAGTTGAATCAGGTAATACAAGATTCTTAGAAAATAGCTAATCAATGATAGTAAAAACTTCAAAATTTAATCTTGACATTGAAGAGATATAGATTGGTACTCTTTATCATTCGAGAGATTATTGTTATTCAAATCCATTCACTTAGGACTAATCGTCTAAAGTGATCGAAAGAACATATTCTTATGATTGAGTTTGTAAGTAACCTATAAAAGATATAATTATACATGTTTGAATGGATAGTATAATTGATATTCTTACTTATGTACTTAAAATTATATATTTCTACTATCCAGTTTATATTTATTTATGTACATTATAATTGAATGTAATGAAAAAATTATCTTGATAAGATAAAGTACAGGGTTCTTTTGAACTGTATTAGGAAGGGTTGAAATATAGAAGGAAATATAATATTGATGATATATAACCATTATGACTCACATTGCTAATCAAATTTAATATATTATTATTGTATATATTAGATTTATTGATTTGTTTTTTTAATTCACATGTGTATAAATAATTTTTAAATTTTAAAATCTAATTAGGTAAAATTATTTTCAAATATATTTTATTTTCTTTATTTTAAACCCTTTTGTATCTTATCAAGTAAAGGGTAAAGTAGAAGAATGTTAAATCATGTGACCCTATGTAATTAGATAAGATATATTATGAATATGATTGGATTCTGATTATAATAATCGATTAATAAAAAGAAAGTCTAATTATGATAACATTCTTTATGAGATAATTTGATGGGAGAGACTATCTGAAATGCTAATCCTAGACTCTTTACTTTCGCTTATAAAAGGACAAGACCTTCTAGGGACTCATATGAATAATTAGATATGCGGATGTATAAATAAGTAAAGATACGTGGATACTTGACATGATTGAGAAATTATAGATCTTCTCTTATCTATATTTAATCATGTGAATCAGTCAATAAAAAAATATAAATATTCTCTCATCTTCCTTTTGTTCCAAAATTTATCACACGTAACAATGATGTGAATGACAGGATTAGAAAAAAAGATGAGTCTAGTTCTCCTTTTTTATCGACATTATAACTTTCAGTTTCTCATAACAATCAAAAAAAATATTTTGAGAATCATAAAAAGATATGTATTATAATTTAGACCTATTGTTATTGATTTTAGATTTTAATATTACTTGTTTATATAATAATAATATATTATAATTTTTATGTTTGTCCGAGATCATATAAAATTAGGTTGTTGAGAGTAATGATGTAGACAACACAACACCGCTATACTCAAGTGAGAGAAAGATTATGCATCTAATCATGGGGCTAAGATTGTGACCTAGGCTAAGGTCACGGGGGTAACGTCTCGTTGTGAGTCTGCAATTGTCAGCTATGACTATCAAATTAGCATTTCTGTTACATATCAAATTAGCCTGTTGCTAATTCTTGTATAAGCTCCATAAATCTTGAAACTAATATATATACATACATATATATATACATACATATATATATATACATATATATATATATATACATATATATACATATACATATATATACATATATATATATATACATATATATAGAGAGAGAGAGAGAGAGAGAGAGAGAGAGAGAGAGTCAAGTGGCGGAGCCCAACGTCTGCAGCTCCGCGTCACAGCAATTAGCAAAGCAAAGTGGAATCCGCGTCACCCCCAATCCGCATGCCATATCAAAAGAACACATCAGATGAACCCTAATTTATGATCACAAGAGGGCGAAAGCCATCTGCAGCCAACCTGAAAGTCAATCTCTCTTGCCATCTTTAAAATCCCTGTTGCATCGATCGAGCATGCTCATTCCTCCTGATGCATGAACTCGACCAGGCACCGCCCGTCCACCTTTAAACAAATCTAAAGGAGAAATGTACAATACACGAGAAAGAGAGAAAGAGAGAGAGAGAGAGAGAGAGAGGACAGAGAATATACGAGGAATAGACGACGGTGGTTTTTGCGATGTCCCCTTCTTCCTCGCCAAATCATCTCTCACTGACGGTGTTTGATAGGGAGGGAGGGCTGCTTTCTGTGTGCTTTGCGAGAAGCATTTGGCCCCGTATTGCACTTTCCTGCCACTTGTCCTTTATTCCCGAAGGCAAACAATGCTGATTTGAGGGACATCTTGATTCTCGAAGATTAAAACGTCGATTCGCCCCGTCTGGGGATTTCGGGAAAGTTGGGAGACTGAAGATTGGGTCCCGCCACTGAATGCGGCGACGAGAAGAGACGCGGAGAGAGAGAGAGAGAGAGAGATAGAGAGGTAAAGATGAAGCCCACTTTCTTCTTTTCCCGTCGCATCACCGCCTCATCCGGACAAGCAAGCGAGGCCGAGAGGCATCCAACGAGAGGCCCGGGGCGGGGGGCGCGAAGTAGGAGCACCGGCCGGATACGATGCTGACGAGCGCCGCACACGCTCGCCTACCTTCCAATTGGCGCCACTGAAATGGCGGGCCCCGCTCTGCTCCGCCCCACTTCCGTGCGGTGAAGCGACGCGCCGCCCCTCGTGGGCGGGGCCCTGCCTGCCTCGGGGACTCGCCATCGACCTCGAGCTCTCGCGCTTGCGGTGCGCTCCCGTTTCCCACGCCACCCCTTTCCGACGCACTGCTATAATAATAATTCTCTCTCCCCCAACACGACAACACTTCACCTCTCCACCACGCTCGCTAGTATGCGTTTGTTGATCTCGCGGCATTATGTAATCCTGAATGGCCAAAGGCCAATGTGGCGAACGATATTTTACAGTACAATACAGATCCGCATGATGAGCTGCCTGGCTTCAGAATACACTTTAAGAATCACACTTCCTGACTGAGATCAATGATCTCGAACTCAAATTATAATGTTTGTCCACTTAAATAACAATCCACCGGCACGATTAGGTGGAAGTTTTATTTAAAGACTATCATGGACTAATACACCGCATCAGTGGACGTCCTCAATATCGCGTCATCCGCCACAGCACGCCAAGAAAAAGGCAAATTGACGAGGAAATATTAATTCGAAAGATTGCCGGCCTCAAACCGCACCCAAAAACTTTCGCAGGCACTAAAACTAGAAGAACCGCACGCGCAACCAACGGGACCAGGCCATCAAACGAAGAGGTTGAGAAGCCTTGGCTCGGCGGTGGAACCGTCGCCTCCGCCGCTCGTCGTCACCGATCCTTCTGAGTTGATCGACGGCGTCGCCGGGCGCCAGCTTCGCTTCTCCTCACTCCCGTCGCCGGGTGAAGGGGTCAAACACAAGTCTAGATCGCATGACAACGCTGCCGCCGCGTCGTATGGGGCAGGCACCTTCCACCGCTCGGCCGCGGAGGAGGAGAACCCCATCAATGGCGGGGAGCAGAGGCCGTCGGACTCCGGCGGCGCGTCGTCGCTGTGGTCCTCGGCGGCGAGACCAGGAAGTGTGCTGAGCGTGCCGCCGCGGAGAACCGTCTCTACCGCCGCCTGGCAGAGATGCCAATTGCCGGTCCACATCAAGCCCACGGCGCCGTTCACCGGGTTGATAGTTCGCCCGCACGCCTCGAACAGCAAAGACTTGAACAAAGCTGCAACCAAATGAGATCGGGCGCGTCAGAAGACAAACACCTATAAACTCGGGGACCGAAATCAAATCAAACCAGGGGGTTCGGAGGCGCGAACCGGGGCGCTGAGAGGGGGGAACGCCGGAGATGAAGGACATGAGGCCGGCGCGACCGAAGAACTTGGCGACGAAGACGGTGGCGTGGGCCTGAGCCTCGGGGAAGTCGATCCACTGGAGGCAAGGCCGCAGAAAGCAGGAGTCGCTGCAGCCCTTGCGTAAAACTCTGCATCCGTTGCAGCTCATCTCTGCCGATCTCTCATCCACCGCCCGATCGATCACGGCGCTCCTCTTCTACTCGAAGGTTAGCTATTTTCTCCTTTTTTCCCTTTCCTTTTCTCTGCAATTTCTTAGGGTTTTCCCCTTTATTTTTTTGGGTGGCGTTGGAGACGTGAGCGGCAAAGAGAGAAGAGGTGTTAAGGGGGCGACGGGGGGTGTGTGGAATGGTGGGTGAATATATAAGGGTGACCGCGGGTTACGTAACTCGACCTTAGAGTTTAAGGTCCTCGAGGAAAGGGGGTGATCTGGTTACCGCCTGGGACTGGCGAGGAAGGTGCTCCATAGTCTTGGGGTTGAGCGGGCGGCTCCGTGTTTCCGCGGCTGATTCGCCTGCGGAGGGGCGCTTTTACTGATGCGCATCGCTTCGCTGGGTTGGCTTTTGTTATTATTATTTTGTTCTCTACATAGCTTTATAGGCGGTTGTCCGTCAGACCAACCAATTCTGCCCGGATTCTTAGGGTGTGGATGTCGGACTGTCGTCGGATTGAACCCATTTAGGATCCGAACCCAATAAACTTAGATACACGAGCATTTCTATCAAGTATAGATCCACGATGGTAGTCAAAATCGTATAAGATTCCCTACTCACTCCAATCGTACAATCATGTCATTCGTGAATGAACTCTCTTTGAAATGGAAGGATATGCTTCTACAGCAGTATGCACAAAGAACGTTTCTTTCGACGTTTAGTAATAGTTGTGGCACCAATTATATACTCCAAGGTAGCTTAATTTTGGAAGCACGGCTTTGTGGATAGGCGCTATTAATTATGGATGGTATCGGGTTAGGTTTTAGATATTTGGATCCGTCCAATGTATCTAAGGTGGATTTTAATATTTTTAATCTGATTTGAAGTCGATTCAGATAGATGGGTTTGGATGGAGGATGATTTAGGTGAGGCCATAGCCAAAGCTATCTATCAGTTTTTACTAATATAAGGATAATAACCATAAATTGAATATATTTGCATAAAATGAAAATTATTCCTAAGTTTAGGAATAATTGGAAAGAAGTTTCGAGGTAAATAAATGATTAAGGATTTTGTTAGGTTTAATGGGTTCAAGATTGGGCCTAAACTAGGGATCAACTCACAAACACCTATATGATGTTTTGTTTTTTGCCTGCTAAAGACCCAGACTTCTATTTCTTATATCAGGCTTTATCAAAACCAGCTTCTACACTGTTTGTAGATGCAAAACTGGGTGTTGATTGAACTAAGTAAACCATTAAGCTAACAGTCATGCTTGTTGCGAGTAGTGAATCCCATCTATAAAACTGTGTACCTTATATTTCTGGAAGGAGTCAACTTAGGCTCCCCTTGTTTGGCTGAGTTTGGACTTCCAGAAGTGTCTGAGGAGCTGCTGCTCCCCCCAGCCTGCCCTTTGCTTGATAATAAGAACTTCCCAAGCATCTTCTTTGGCATCACCACGCCCTTCACCTGACTGTTGCCACTCTTCCCTTGACCATTGCTTCTGTTTTCATTGTTGCCTCCGCTGCTCCATTCGCATCCCTTTCCTCCTTCACTAAGCTTTGTAAATTTCCGAGCTTTACCGTCTTCTGCATTCGGCACGCCATCACATTCGTCTTCAGTGTTGGTCGTGATGGCTGACCTTGAGCTTCCATACGAGTTGCCACTCTCAGCTCGGCTGGTGGTAGCGGCAGATGCCCTCATCTGCTCAAAGTACAGGATCTGCACCACCAACCGCAATGGGAGCCGCTCGTTCTGCATGGCATGTGCGCAAACGTCCCCTGAGAGCTTCTTGCAGTTCATCAGGCCACATAGCTTCTTCTTCTCACTCTTGCCAAGGCCTGGATGTTCCTGCTCATTACATAAATGAGAACAACAAAGTCATGCATCGAACAAGCAGACAAATTTGCTAGCTAGATCAGTGTTCGAGTCAAAGTAACAAAATAGGAAAGGATCATGCATCGTACCTTGAGATAAGTGTCAATGGCATGATAAAGCCCATCATGTACAGGTCTTGAATCACTTGGTAGAATCTCAGCAAGATCGATAAATTTGGAAAGAGGTAAATTAGGGTCTTTAGCAATCTCAATTAGATAATCGTCGACTAGCTTGGCTACTGTGATCTTTGAAATCCTTGAGGCCAAAGCTGGGGCATTTAACTCATGAAGCTCCTCATTTGTGCTGAGTTGAACATCACTATTATCCTGCATTATGAATTCTTCCACTATGTTGAGAACCATGTCGACATCATATATCGTGTTTTCTCCTGAGGTGCTAGGAATCAAGAGACCGGGCACTGATGCATCTTCTAACTGGCGGCCTATTCGCTTCACGAGTTCCCTTTTGCTACATTCACCACAATCCAGTAAACTACCAGCTCTTAGTAACTTCAGAAGAAAACAGCAGGACACAGAACCTTTCTCTGAGGGCAACAACAAAATGATAGTCTCCAGCAATGACCGGTTTTTATTGGGATCACCTCCCTTTTCTTTGCCCAAACTTGAGAGCCTCCTATAAGTATAGGCTTTCAGTGCTTCCCCAATCACTTCAGAAGAGACTCTCCCCTTGACTTTGATGGCCATTATGATCTTCTTAAAAAAGCCAATTTCAAGTTCACATAAGTCCTCGACCCACCAGTCCTTCGGCACTGAATTCTCTTTCCTGATGCCTTTCCAATGTGTTTCCAAACAATTTTCAGAAGGAAGCTTCTTCCTGTTGTCCGTGTATGACCATTCCACTTTAGAAGAATCGGTTGAGGCCTTGGAAGCTATAGACTCTATGCAATGGTCAATCAACTTCAGGTCCTCAGACCATGGTAAAAGAGATCTTGTAGTCTGGAGAACTATGATTGAATCTTTCCAGCTACGCAATATACTAGTTCTGAGGAAGACTTCGATTTTATAGATCAGGTTCCCTTTTTCGACTGTTTCGTGCATTTGTAGGTACTCAGCTGCACATCGTGCGGTAGTCACATTGTGAGCATTGAGGGTCACAGTCATGCCGTAACAAAATTTTGCACAAATTTCAAAAGCAGCTGCACCGCCAGGGATATCCGAAATGCATATTTCATCAGTCTTTTCATTGTTGGTAATTGTTATCAGCTTCTGCAAGCGAAAACTCTTGGACAGCAGGGGAAACTGCATTTTCAATTGGCAAAGGAAAGGTTAGTAAAATTTGGAAAAGGCAAAGAAATGAAACTAAACTAGCAGAATAATGAGAAAGAGCAAGTTGCTTAAGGATAATTAGTGGTTATATATTCTATGTGAAATTCTGGTTTTGTCCTTCCAGCATTGTAAAACTAATTACATCAATGGCGTCCCACACTGATAGAGAAGCAAAATTACAGTAAGGATACAAAGGACACGAGCCTTTATTTGTTCTTTTACATGAACTGATGATTGAGGTGAGTGATAGGCTATTCAGCTTTAATAAATCCCTAGCACCCATATTTATCAGTAACAACCAAATTGTCGATCCAAGAATTGAGTAAACATTGTGAAAACTTAAAAACTTCTCAAGTATTAATACCAAATAACAGCTTTAACATCAAATTAAGGCATCACTTGAGTTAGAAATACATATGGTCCATGACAATACTGGTAGTTGCACACTTCGAGGACCCAAAAGGTCAATGAAGGGTTTAGTGTCTAATCATGGTTGAGCAAATATTAAAGAGTAAAAATCTCAAGTGCCAAATACATGATAATGTCCTGCATCTATTATGACTTTGGAAAAGAGTTATTACCTTGTGCAAATGGAATTTGACATTTCCTACACGAATAATGATGTCAGCTGCTAAGTCAGTGGCCACGAACCTGCACATATATTCTGAATTAGAGAATCAAAGGCACAAGCATAATCACATTTTTCTTAGTGCAATAGGAAGCAAGGTTCGCAAATTTCGTACCGTACCGGAGTTTCAATGTTCGCTCGACACGGTACGATACTATATACCGAACGGTATACCATTCGATATACTGCTTGTTATATACATATACATATACATACATACATATATATATATATACATACATATATATATAATTCGGCGACGTCGCCTTTTCCTTCTCCCACGCGAGGGCGACATCGCCTCATATATATATATATATATATATATATATATATGTATATATATATGTATATATATATGTACATATATATATACATATATATATCGTTCCGTCCGATAACGGGTGATCCGTGTACCGGTACATACCATCCGTACCATGCGGTATTATTCGAAATTGTATACCTTGATAGGAAGTATCATTATAGCTGCTAAATATAAATGAAAAGGGGTCTAAGCAATGGATTGAACAATCTACGGTCACTTGAATAAGACCCAAATTTATCGGCAAAGATATATGTAGTCTGTAAATTTATATCTGGCGGACCCAACTTCTGTATATGAAGCATTCTTTTTATTTAGTGCTTATAACAGTAGTGATGTTAATTGATTATGCTCTTAGTTTGATATCAATCGCAAGAGAAAATGGTGCAGAAATCATATTTCTTAGTGCATGTTGTTGTGTACTCAATGAGAAAAGGGCACAATAAGCATTTTATCGAACCCCTGGTAGCTATTTCAAATCAAACAACACACAATTAGGGGAAAGCACAAATAGGTAGTACATATTCTAATCCTATTTTGGATAACAAAGGATGATTTGGATTTGGGTCAAGAAATGCTCATGGAGGAACAATCCTACTGGATCAAGGGAAAGGATGGAGAAAGCAGGATAAAGACTGTGTCAAAACAAGCATAATGCAGCAAATGTCAACACCAGAGCATAGGACACATCAAATTCTATAACAACAGCAGTAATGATAAGAAATTCCAAGAACCTGATGTCTTTCCCATCACTCTGAAAGGAATCAGGTTTGGATCCAAGCTTCATAAACTTCATCGTGGAACTAATCGATGCACCTTCTCTTCTTCACACTTCTGCTTAACCGGAGAATGTTACATCAATTCTGCCACCCTCTCAAAAACTAAAGGCAACCTTGGAACATAAAGCATGGACTTCCCGTAGGAGGCAGAAGACAGAAGAATACTCCAGCTTTTGCAAGTCTGCAAACAGCAACACTTATTTTAGAGTGTTTCAGAACAGAGGACGAGAGGAAGAACAAATTTATACAGCTATTTGTCTTCCCCTCCCGCTTGGGATGAGCAACTCACCACAAGATGCGGTCTAATGGAGAAGCTCTGCTGTTTCCCAGCTCCATGGCAGAGGAGACAGCAAGTAGCTCAGTAGGCTAGTAAACAATTAAGGAGGAGAGAGACACCACCACCCTTACTCCTCTTTGGCCAAATGCTGGTTGTCCTGTGCTTTGCTTGCAGGGTCGTTAAGATCCGGCGACTACCGCCACCACATTCCTCGAATCCAACTCCACTGGCCTTTAGGATCAGATCACCTGCCACAACCAAAGATACCACCTCTATGTGAGGGCAAGTGAAGCAGTGATGCCACAGACAGTAAGCATCTTTTTCCTTGTTTAATAATACGGAAGAGATAGCAACTGCTCCGGTAAAGGAATCTTATCAAGTTGGCGAAAAACCACACGAAGAAGCATATGAATCGATTACATGAGAGACAAGGTTGCATGCACTTGAAGGTATTAAAGTTTGAGCTTGATACTGAAGGCTAAAAGGAAATTGAACTACCATGCAGAGCCAGCTGTTGCAGTGAGAAGAAGATGAAGAAGAAGACAATGCTGGACTGAGGAGAGAGAGAGAGAGACAGATAGGATGTAGTTTATGTCCTTGGAGAGTTATCACTTAAAACAAGCCAAAAGCAAAAAGAAAGAGAAAGCCTGTTGAGGAAAACTTGCAAAAGAAGCACAAATCTTTGATCAAAATACAGAGAAAGTAAAGTAGACAGAGTAGAAAAGAGAACAAGTAGAAGAACTAACAAAAACCCACCACAAAGTGCAGAAAACTGAGCCAACCATACCAGGGATTAAACCCAAGAACACAAGTAGCAGCAACATTTAGAGACTGTGAGCGGTGTGGGAGGAAGGTGAGTGGTGCAGAGGAGGAATCTACCTGATTGATGGATGGCTCTAACACAGCGGCAGGAGGAGGCCCACCATGCTCCCTCCCATGCCCACACCTTCTGCTCCCCTGTCAGTCTTTTCCGTCAGCCACACACCACCCTCTAGAGAACACAGAGACACGGCAACAGGGGAAGAAGATATCAATGAACAGGACAGCCCAAACAAATGGCCCCGAGTCCTCCCCTCCCCCACCTTTCACCGGCTATATCATCAGAACCGAGGCGAGTTCATCATCAAAAGCACTACTTGTCTCTTTCTTCGCTGCTTTTTATTGCGCATTGACTGCATCTTTAAAGCTTCAGCTTCCCACCTCCCTCTCTCTCTCTCCGCTCCCTTCTCTGCATGCCTCGTAAAAGCTATACTCATCTGACGTTCCTACCCTTTGTGCATGTAAATATTTCCTCAAAAGCCGTTGTGCGCTGAGCTCGGACCACCTCTTCTTCTTCTTGCTCTGCCAATTAACACTACTCTTAGGTGCGTCACATCTCATCGGTCATCTCCCTGATCCACACACCAGGTATTCTTGCTGCAGTTCCAAGACCTTATTTGGCGTGCCATGGTTCCCAAAGCCTACGATCATGCATGAACAATTAATGGCATGTATTCTATTAGCACCTAACATAGGTGTTGTCACGCTTTCCGCTTCTCTCAACCCAAAACATGGTAAATCTTATACCTAACCTTTGTTAAAGATGATGCGTCAAGGACGACAAGGCATCTGTTCCATGTCCAGAAGCGCAGTCGGTGCCATGCATGCGTGCTTCTTCGCTGACAACCTTTCCCTGGTTGAGAAATATGTGAAAGAGCGTCTAGGAAAGCTCTCTACTCTTTGGCTAATCGCCTAGACTGATAATATCGAAGTGCTTACCATATCCTCGAACACTGATAGTATCTATAGATGTGCATGAGTAAATCTTGGGCAGAGTGGCGATGCTGAAGCTTTTTTACTTAGAAGACAGTACTGAGGTCATCTATCGTTAGCCATGTCCATCTTTCCATCATCTCATGGATTGGGCACAGAAAGGACTTGTAGATCTGATGTCCTCGTAATGTGAATCACAACTTCTTCCCAATATATGTGCCTTAAATCTAGTTTAATCCTACCTCTTGTGTTGCTTGGCATCTATTACTTACTTGCCCATCTTCTCAAGTGGGATTAATCTTTAGCAGGAACAATGGAATATTATCCAATCAGAAACAGACATCAAAAGGTCTCTCCAAAAGTCCAAGATACTGCACATGGTTTTTGTGGACGCCATGCCGATAGACCAGCCTTATAAGATGTGTCTTTGAGGCCCTCTAAAATCTGTTGGTCTGTGAAGAAAAGAAAAGATTTTGGTCCTATGAAACTCCACTATCTTAAATAAACTAAGAGGGGGGGACAACTTTTTTTGTCCTCCTTTCTCTTTTTTCAGAGCACTAGATTTAGTGTTTTGTGCCGTCTAATGTATTGGTTTGGCCGATCTACAGCTGCTGACTTTAGGTGCCGGAGAAGAGGCAAAGTGGATGCCTGATGCCCACAAATCTAGATGCTTGCTAAGCTTGGGTGTCCTATAAACCAAAGAAAAGAGCAGTGCACTTATGGGAGAGAGAGGAATTGGTTCTTTTATCTCGCGAAGAAGAAGAACAGTCGTCTATATACCCTGTGCAGAGATGGCTACTTCCGAGGTGAGTTTGATCAAAGAGGAGAAAAAGCCATGGAAATGGCTGCAAATGTATGCTTCTTACGGTAGTATACGCACTCAAGCAAGCTCTGAGATCTTTAAGACGACCACAGGAGGAAGATTGAGTGACAATGGGGGATTACGATCACAAGAAAGTCGAAGCCTTTAGATAAAGAGATGTGATTGACTCTCGATGCTTGAAATTAGTCGAGCGAAGCTACTGTCCAATGAAACTGTTCTTTCCTCATGAACAAGCTCAAAATCCAAATCGATGGAATTCCAGTCTTGAGTCTCTCTGCGGCTGAACAATTCCAAGAGATTGCAGATTCAGGTTTTGGAAAGCTTCGTTGCCGAAACTACATGAGTGCAGGCTGACAGGGCTGTAAGAAAAGAGAACCTGTCTGCAGCAATGCCATGATGCCTTGTCATCTGGTCAAAGCGATCCGTTGTTTCTATGGCAGTGTGCCCGTGCTGCGCCATGGCCGCTGTCATTGCATTCCAAGACTGGGAGACCACAATGGGCATCATAAGAGGTATTGGACGTGCCGCCTCTCCGCAGAACCACACGCTGCGTGCATCGTCATGAGTGCATCTCCTGCTGAGTTGCTCGACTCGGAGTGCGGAGCTGCGCCTTCCGTGACTCGGTGCGAATGGCTCGCCACAAGCACCGGTCGACGACCTCCTTCCTCATCCAATCGAAACGCTTCGGACTTTACTGTGGAGGATGATTCGGATCCAATCATCATCCTTCTTTAGTCTGCCACAAATGAATCTGGTATTGAGTTCAAACACTGATCAATGGAGCCAAGACTTTGAGAACCTACATCAAAGATCTTTGTATACTTCAGCAAATGGACTTGGATGATTCGATCTAACATCAAATCTAATTCATTTATTGGATCATGTCTTGTGTATTCTTATTTGGTCAATAATGACCAATCTAGTTGGTTTAAAAGCAAAAATGGTGGGTATTAGACAAGGAGACCTCTTTTCTCATATTTGTTTATCCTAATTCTTTTAGTCTTATCACCAAGTTGTTGATCATAAGCACTTAACCATATTTAGCATCAAGGGACCTTCTCATTTTCTCGTATAGTTGGAAAAATTTTATCTTCTATCATATTCCCGCAAGATCAAGATGGATACCAATCATGGATCGCGAGCGAGAGATGTGACGTTGATCGCTGGCCGAAGGCAAGAGCGAAGTTTCGCTTTTCTTTGCTCTGATACCGAAAGATTTTTTTTAACAAAATAGAGGATTTTTTCAACAGAATAGAGAGATTTCCTTATATAATTGAGAAACCACAATAGTCGGAGTGACAATGTGATGACAATAAGGTTTCAACCGAAACTCAAATTGACATATCCTCCTATAATGGTCTTGTCAATACCGAGTTGCGATCACACAACTCAAGTTGACTAATCACTGATCTTTTGGCCATGAAGAGGTGACATACGGGCACTTTAAAAAGCTCATCCTACAAGACTTTATTGATGGAAATGATGACATAGCTTGAGCCAAAGACAAAATCAATCGCTGCAAGACTACACTACTGAGTTTCGACTATAATATATTGATTTGCATGATGTGTATGACATCTCAAGTGCTAGTGGGACAATATGATGATCGAAAGAAATAATACAACTCAAAACGAAAGGACTACCGAGAAAGCCAAAGAGAGCTACTCAAATGTCAAGAAAAACTCGAGGAATGATAAGAATTCTTCGTCTTCAAAGAAAAATGACTTTTTATTCCATTGTAAAATTGTAAATCATATCAGAAGGAGTGTCAGAAGGTTACCCAAAACTCTTCCAGAAAGAGGGAGGCATACATTAACAATAACTATAACATTTATGAATATTCATTTCCTTCTCACCAACTAATAATAATTCCACTTCGATATCATATGATATCAACGAGTAGATATGGTGAAATAAGTACCTAATTAACATGATAAGTAGTCTCTAAACCATCACCTAACCTAAAATCCTAAAGCCAAAATTAATAAATGTAGACTCATCTAACAATATAAAACAAATGAATCCTCCCACAGCCAATGTTGAACAAAACTGAGATGTCACAGTTACGAATGCACAAGGCTATTATGCCTTTCAGTAGGAATGATTGGGATGAAAATTTGAACACTCACTATCCAAGAGAAAATGATACATGTAACAGGAAAGAAAATACAAATTTCTACAACTACTTGAATAATATTATCACATGACGACAAGTAGATCAGACACTAATTTGTACTCTGATGATAGTCTCTGCTTTCACTAACTTCAATCTGTGTGAAATACTGTATGATGATGCCTTCCTACAAGGCATTGCTTATTTTTTTCTGTACAGAAGTGAGCCTGCCGACTTTTAACACCTGGAAATTTCCTTCTTTTCACCTTCCTTGGTCATCTTCTGAATTGCCAAATCACTGCATTCCTCGATCACCGGATTGGTATGATTGAGAAACATTGAGAAACACAAGTTGCCAATCTCTCGATGGTTTCATGATGACGAACTGTCATCATCTGAAATGGCATCTCGTCGCTGTTCATACCTTCGGAGGACCGGAAGGGAAGCACTCGCAGATATACGAAAGGATCTAGTTGATCCCATTATTGTCCTCTCATGCAATCTGCCAACTTCCCTGCAAACATTATCTAGCACTGAGAGGAAGTCTCGCACCACCATGAAGATCCTAAGAGGGTGAGCTTCCTCCTTTGCAGCACCCCCGTGGAAGTACTCTGTAGTTTCCTTTACCAGGTTCATCACCCTCTTCTCCTCAGCCTTAACACGATTGATCTCCCTTTCGGCCTCATTAAGAAATATCTTCATCATCTCAAAAAATTTCATACCTTGTGTGCATGACTTCTCAAGTTGTAATACTGACTTCATCTTCTCAAGCCCCGTTTCTAGCTTTGAGACGTAACCGCTGAGAACATCTGAGTCCATTCCAGCTGCCTTTCTGACGTTACCAAGCTCACTGCTCAACCCAGCCACCACTATCAACCCTTGTTTCTTAAATGGTTCTTCTCTGGCATTGCTAGAAGGATTCTCCGATGTTGATTTATTAACTGATCCTTCCGACCGAATGATCTCTTGAACAACAAAATGCAGAAGTGTGGTTTTCCCATCAGTCCCTTTTACATCTGCGAGTTTTAGAAGAGTATCTAGCTTGAAGGCTTGCGCTTGACCTCGGTTGGTCCCCACATTCATCCTGTTTCCAGTCCTCAATACAGCTTCCAGGAGTTTAAGGAATAGTCTACTATTTCTTAGATCTCCACATGCTGCCTGCAGAATATACGAGGGACTATGAGCTGTGAAATATATGGACAATGATTCTAACAAGTATTATTTATTGCTTATGAAAGCACTATAAAGTTTATTCTTAATCTACAAACTTGCATTTTTTTTTTTTCTGAAGGTTCCTTACGTGAGAAATTTAAGTGAAAACTATTTTAGGGTATGCCAAACACAGTTGGTCAAAAGCACAGAAATGCTGAAAATATAATTTAGGAAGAATGAGGAAAG